CTCTGCACTTAACAACTTGCTCATCATGATACCTTGAGTTTATTTCAGAATTCAGAGCTAGGATCTACTCCAAACTCAGACCGTGGACCCAAACCTTGCCCCCCATTGTAGATTCGAACAAAGCAACCCTGCTTTTCAATCTTCATCCCTCCCTGTGCGATTCCCCTAGCAATTTCAGCAGCCTTTCTGGCATCAATAGTGGTTTCCGAGCCAGCATAAACTGCTGCAGATTCTTTCTCTTCATCAGGTTTCCATTCTGAAAGTGGACTCCTGTCAACCAACACCTTACAATTTTCAAAGTAGCAACCTAACTGTTGGTTTGGAATTTCCAGAACCTCAACAACTTTATCCCCAGAACCTATACACGTCTCATGATCTGCATATTTCTTCAGAATGTTCCCCTCATCTATTTTCTCAATTTCCTCATCAATTGACTTTAATTCGATATTCGTTATCGAATGTGTAGTCTCCAACAATCTAATTCCAGGATCAGTAATGTATATGGCTCTAGAAGAAGAAGAAATTTTCGCAGGGGAATGAACCTCTTGGGACAAAACTTGCGCAGCTGGCGACACGACTTGCGAAGAAGAAAATTCTTCTCTCGGTAGCGTCGCATTCTGACGCGATTGGATAGCCGATGGGAACGCCTGCGGCGTGAAATGCGAACTGAGAGTGTGAGTTTGCGATTGTGAGCTGGTAATTGGGTTTCGCGACTGCAATCTTGTTTCACTTGAAGAAGAAGTTTGCGAGTGTGATTGGGAAGACTTCTGCGAACGTATGAGGAATTCCGATGATGGACTGTAAGAACAAACAGTATTTCTTGGCGAAGATTCTTGTGAACTGGAATGATGCGTGAGTGTCGAACTGTGCGACCTATGAGAAGTTGTACGCGAAGGGGCCGGTTAACTGCGGACATCTGTTCGCGGCTGAGAATAGCCCTGCGCAAGTGATGAGGTTTGCGAATTAAGCAAAACTGTTCGCGATCTTCTTGCCCGTAAATGTTCTTCCGTAGCAGCTAGCTTTCTCGCGAGGTTATCCATCTTTAACTTCACCTCTTGCTGATTCCGCTCCAGCGAATCCATGCGCTCCAACGATTCCAGTCGATGATCCATTTTGCCTCTCGTTCGAACGGAAAAAAAAATCTGGATTTCTGTACTTCTCTGATCAATTCCGTAACTACCAGGAGCGTAATGCTCTGATACCAATGTTAGATTCTGGTATTACAGACTCCAATTACAGTAGATTCAAAGAGAGATTAACAGAGAACAAGATCAAAATGAGATTTATTGAAGAAGAAGAAAATAGCAAACGTATACAAGCCTAGGACGATTCGAGATGCCCAGTCTCCAAAGTCTAAGTCCAACCAAATGACAGCCTCCTCATTGTCCTCCCCTCCTCTTCTATTTATACTATTACATGTACACTTACTATTATTATTATTATTATTATTATTTCTATTAATAGCCTACTAAGCTAGATTCCTATCAATCAATGGGAGTTTTAAATCCTAGAGTCTTTGATGGCATCATATTAATTAAATATGTAGCATGTAAAACAACTTCTCCCCATAAATATTTTGGAATTCTAGCAGAAAACATAATTGCACGAGTGACTTCAAGCAAATGCCTATTTTTCCTCTCAGCTATTCCATTCTGAGCAGGTGTATTTATACAGGAACTTTGATGAATAATCTCTTTTTCAGCAAAAAAAAGTATTTAACTTCTTAGAAAAATACTCAAGACCATTATCACTTCTCACAATTTTGATATTAGTATTGAATTGAGTCTGAATCATTGAGTAAAATTTCTTGAACACCTCTTCAACCTCAAATTTTTCTTTAATAAAAAAACCCATATGACCCGTGTGTGATCATCTATGATAGTTACAAACCACCTTTTTCCTTTCAAAGTTGAAACTCTAGATGCACCCCAAATATCACCGTGTACAATAGTAAAAGGACTAGTTGGCTTGTAACTATGAGGGATATAAGAGCTCCTATGATGTTTGGCAAATGCACACGTATCACAATGAAATGATGAAGGATTTTTATTATGAAATAACTTAGGAAACAACCTTTTTAGATAAGAAAAACTTGGGTGACCTAATCTATAGTGCATTAAATACACTTCATTATTACAAGGAAAGAAAATAGTTTGCAGACAAGTTTTTTCTTGACCTTGTTTATTCGATTGTGTTCCTTCATCAAAAACATATAGGCCATCCTCCTCTCTAGCACTGCCAATCATCCTCCCCGATGCTAGATCCTGAAAAATGCAATAAGAAGGATAAAACTTTACACAACACTGAAAGTCTTTGGTTATTTTGCTAATAGAGATAAGATTGCAGGAAAGTTTTGGAACATGTAAGACTTTAGAAAGGTTAATGGATGGGGAAATTTTAATATTTCCCATCCCTGCTATGACTGAAAAAGAGCCATCTGCAACTCTAACTTTCTTATCTCCTGCACAAGGTTGATATGAAGAAAAGAGATTTGGAATGTAGGTCATGTGGTCTGTTGCACCTGAGTCAATGACCCAAGTGTTTTTTTATTTTTCAGAACAAAAAAATGATGTTATTTTACCATTTTGGGCAAAAGAACAGGAAGAGTTTTCTTGGTTGGAGATTTTCTGGGTGGGTATAAATCGGAGTAAGTACTCTATCTGTTCCTGAGTGAAAGGCAGCTGTTTAGATTCAACTCCTGACTCTTGTTGAGTCTCAGTCACAGTAGTTTGTAGGGCCCTCTCAACTTTCTTCTTTCCACCTCCTGGTGGTTTTCCATGAAGTTTCCAGCATGTTTCCCTTGTGTGCCACAACTTTTTGCAGTGATCACACCAAGGTTTTTTCTTGTCATCACTTCTCGCCACTAAAGCTGAAGAGTCCCCAGGTTCCTCATTAGGTACTGGAGTGTTGTACATGACCCTCCTCCTGCTATCTTCCAACCTGATCTCAGAAAAAACCTCTCTGATTGAGGCCAGAGGTTTCTTTCCCAGTATTCTGCCTTTTACTTCATCTAGGTCCCTATTGATCCCTGCTAGAAACATATAGACCCTATCATTCTCTTCTCTTTTCTTATGTCTGGCCCGATCCTTAGCACTCTCCCACTCTTCATCACCATAGCATTGATCTAATTCTTGCCACATAGATACCATTTCATTGTAGTATGAAATAATATCCCTATTTCCTTGTTTAGATTGCCACAATTTGGTTTTGAGTTCAAAAATTTGAGAAAAGTTCTCAAGATATGAATAAGTTTCCTTAATAGAGTCCCATACCTCCTTTGCAGTTTTCATAAAACATATGAGGTTTGGCAATTAAGGGCTCCATGGAGTTGAGAAGCCAAGCTGTTATGAGTGAATTCTCTGACCTCCATGTACTGTAACCTTCTTTTGCAGGTAGTTTTGGTTTGATTTCTCCTGTGATGTAACCCAGCTTTCCCCTCCCATCAATTGCAAGTCTGACAGATTGAGACCACTCCAGATAGTTTGTTCCATTCAATCTATGACTAGTGATTATCATAGATGAATGAATAGGAGACTGGTAATTTGTCATAGGGCTAATTTGGGAGTTAGGGTTGATAGTGTGTGAGGAATCAACATCACTGGTTTCTACCATTGTTTAAACCGAGACTCTGATACCATGTAGGTTTGAAGAATTAATCTTCCTTGAATATTATTGAGCCATCCGGCAATGATATATATACAAGTTACATATAAAGTCTAGTTGTTACAGATCCTAAAATATAGGATCTATCTATTCTGCGAGCTTATCTACTAGTTAGAGAGTTCTATCTACTCTAAGTCTTATCTATACAGTTCCGGATGTACAAATAATTAAAATAACAAATACATGTTACATTTTTCTACAATTTTTATCTTATCTTACCTTTTTATCTTTTTTTCTCTCTTTCAATTTAATCTTTTTTTTTAAATCTTTTTTACTCTGATTTCATATGTTGATTCATGTTAGCCGACCAAACTCTTTTGGGACTAAGGCTTGGATGTTGTTGTATAGGATTGTAAATGCTTAATGTATCATGAAAGCTTGCATGCACCAAATTGAAATATACAAGGGCTGCTTTTCCCCAATGTTTTGTTGGCTTTCATCATGAAACCACTAGGTACTAAAACATTCGACACCATTAGCACCAAGCCGCTAATACCTTAATCTCAACTGGATCAGGATCAGTGGCATGAAACTTATACCCGCCGCAAATTGTATGAATTTGATTAACACTCTAAGCTCACACAAAAATGCTGAGTGACAAAGTTTATGTCAGATGTGCTTCCTGTTTTAACTTTCTGAAGAAGGAATAACGAGATGCAATTTCAAAATTGTCATTGTCATTGGCCTCTTCTATTTGTATGGAAAGTATCACCAGACCAGGACAAGTTGAGATTATTTCTATAGTTATGTCCCAAAATTGATATTCTATAATCCATACGCTTATCCTGATGCATGATTTTGCAACACGTTTTTCACGTGTTAGAAATCATGGAAAAAACATGCAGGAAGTCGTGTGGTTGATTTCCATAGAAATGAGGGTGGTTGACTTACCAATGGGGATTTCGATTCCAACTATCTGTGGTTTGATTGTTAGCTTGAATTTTGATTTTGTTTCCTTTTGAGAGGTTTGGTAATTTTGGTAGGATGCTTTGATTATTCTACTTTCCAAATTATGAAGTGAAAAATGCATGTAGTCCCCAACTATATAATGGGAGCTTAGTTTCAGTTGTAAGCATGCAATCAATAATTAACAAGAAACAAAGGTGAAGGAAAATTTCCAAATACAAAAAGAGAACAAAAACCCCTTCCCCACGGTAGGTGGGAGCCTTTGGGGTAATGATGATGGTGATGACAAAAAGAGAAGGAAAAGTATTAAACATTCCATTGCCCCTTTCTTCATCCATTCATTTCCAAATGTGAAGAATCCTGGTAAATAACATTTCACTTGATGTTTGATGTCTTTTCTGCATTTAAATTGAGATCTGTCTCTGTTTCAGTAAAATACCAAGTGCAACCTGGAGTCATCTACACTAGCACAAAAACAGAGGAGTCTTTCTTGTCTGCCTTACAGAGATGTGGTAAGTTGCTTCAAATGTGATGGCTAATCAAGTTCCATATTTTGCAAACACAATATTTACTTGTTTAAGGTGCTACAGATGAAGCAAGTAGGTCTGCCACTGTAAAGCTGGTAAAGAGTTCAATATTCAGCTATGAGCAAGCATGGCACAGGTAATGAAAATTGCCAGTATGGTGCACTTATGCACACATTCCTGTTACTTTTGCTATTCTCATACACTTATACAAGCAGATATCTATGATCATGTACCTGTAGTTGTAATCATGTGGTTTCCATACAGGCTGTAGCTGATAAAGAGTTTATTTTCTTCATTTTTCTACAAAATCTCTATGTATGTATGTTAGCATGTCAACTGAGTACTTGAGTAGTATTCTGTTGGTTTTTCGTTTGTATGTTTTTACTTTTAATTAGCTTTTGCAGTGTGTTATTGTAGTGATTGCACATTTAGGTTCATCATTTTCATTTACCCCAGTGCCGCAAAGGCTCCCACCTACGGTGGGGTAAGGGGGGTTGGATGTACGCAATAAAGAAGCATGGGAAAGTTTTGACAAAGATCAAGGAAGATGCAAGAGAACAAGACAAAGTGCTAAATTCCTGATTTGATCATATACCCCGTTGGATATACTCAATACTAGGTTGGGTATACTCCATACCCGGTTGGGTAATGATTCGACCCGGTGATCAAATAAGATCAAGGAAAACATTTTGACGTGCAAAGATGTGGGAAAATCAGATTTGCTTCATACCCGATCGGGTATGACATGATTTTTGAACCTTCATAGCTACTGCCATGGGTATCCTAGATACCCGGTCAGGTATCTGACCCAGCTTGCCTATTTTCCCTATAAAAGCACCTCTTTCCTTCCGATTATGATATCCATTATTCCTCATACTTAAGCTCTGATAGATAAGTGTTTTCATATTTTACTATTACTAGTATGTTTAGATTCCAATGAGGAGCTAAACTCTTTCATCTTGGTTTTGCAATATCGGAACTTATGATTTGTAAGTTGTGAGTTATTTTCTTTAATTATCCCCTTTTGAGTATTAATTACTTTCCAAATTATATTTCATATTGATATTTGAGCATTGCTAAGTGATCAATTAGTGAATGTTTTCATATTAATTTATGGGAAAAGGTATAAATATACCCTTATAGTATGTGTGTGAGAACCAATATACCTCTATTCTATTTTTCAGAACAAATATACCCCTAAAGTATATTTTGAAGTGCATATATACCCCTGAGCTTTTAAAAAGTGCAAAGATACCCCTCATGTTCTTATAAAGGAGCAAATTTACCCTTATTGACTTTAAATAAATAAAATAAATTTCAAAAAACACCAAAAATAAATTATAAATTTGAAATTTTAAAATAAAGATTTATTATTATGTTAAAATATTAACTCTTTAATTTTAAATTGCAAAATTATTATTTTTCTGTTGTTAATGAAACACTTCAAATTCATATATATTAATTTTAGTCTTGTTGCGAATTTTTGAACACATTGTTACATTTTTGAAATAACATTCTTTGATTTTGTTTAACCTTAATAAACATAAATTCACATTGTAATCTTTGACTATTTATCATCATACAAAATATGTAACTTTATAGTGTAAAGAATGCAAAAAATTATTTTTTTTTACATTGCAACACATATGTTAACACTTTTTCTAACGAATTTTAAATATATAGTAAAGTTTTGAAATAATATTTTATACTAACAATATTAATTTGTGATAGAAAAACAATAAACGGGAGAATTAGATAAAAGTACATTTTTTTAATTTCGAATTTACAATTTATTTGTGGGTTTTTTGAAATTTATTTTAGGGAAAATCGCACATTTGACCCCCCAATTATCCACCATATTGAAATCCCAAACCCAATTGTTTCAAGTTTTCTAAATTTCACCCCCGAGTTGTCCGAATAATTATAAATGTCACCCCTGCCGTTATAAATACTGTAAACTTCGTCTGTTTTTCATTTTTTCCAGGGTTATAATTGGCATTTCCCAATCCTTTTCGTTTAAAGCCCTAATTCAAAGCCCCCAATTTCCTCCTTGGGAACGAAAGAGATGTGGACATTCCGGAGTGGTGTGAAGCCCGGAGAGCTGATTTGGATGGCCCTGATAGCTTCCAAGTACTGGATGCCGATGCACTTGTCGTCCTGGGCTCCGTGAGCGAAGATTTTTCCGTCAGAGGAGCGGTGGGCGAAGAAGGGCAGGTGGGACAACTTGGTGGGCTCAGCGGGGACGGAGTCAAGATGCGAATTGAAGAGGATGAAGGGAAGCAAAGGGTTGGAGCCGGGCCAGGCGAGTAGAAGTAGGGGTTTGTTTGGGGGATGGGGAAGTGAAATAGGGATCGGAGGCCAGGGATGGAGCCAACCAAGGCGGTGAGGAAATTGACAACAGAGGGGTGGTCAGGGTTGGGGTGGGCGGTGTTGATTCGAAGGTACTTCTGGAAGTGGGTCACCGGTGAGTAGTCTAGCTGGTGCTGCTGATCCTGTACCGCCGCAGATGTTGATGGCTCTCTGACTGTGACGACGAAGATGAAGAGTGTGAGAGCCGAGAGGTGGCGGAGCAGCAAACGGCTGAGGTATTGGACATGGAGTTTAGCCTCCTTGGAACTGCCGGACTAGCGACCAACCAATCAATCAGAACGTGCCTGGCGATGCCAACGGATATTGCTAATAAAATAAAGGATGGGGAAATGACAATTTTAACCCTGAAAAAAATGAAAAACAGACTGAGTTTACAATATTTATAACGGCAGGGGTGACATTTATAATTATTCGAACAACTCGGGAATGAAATTTAGAAAACCTGAAACACGGGTTTGGGATTTCAATATGGTAGATAATTGGGGGGTCAAATGTGCGATTTTTCCTTTATTTTATCAATTTAAAGTCAATAAGGGTAAATTTGCCCCTTTATAAGAACATGAGTATTTTTGCATCTTTTAAAAGTTCAAGAGTATATATGCACTTCCACATATACTTCAGGGGTATATTTGCTTTGAGAAATAGAATAAGGGTATATTTGTTCTCATACCCATACTACATGGGTATATTTGTACCTTCTCCCTTGATTTATTACTAGAATCGATCAACGAATATGTTTTTTATTTGTCTTTCCTTTCGTAAATGTTAACTTTAGATTTCTAATGCATGCCTGTCATGGTTAATAATCTGAAAAGGAATTCATTATATTGATAAAACCGATAAACCGCTTGTGTTGAAGTTGTCAATATCAGTTGATTTCATCTAAAGATAAAATGCTACGATCGGGTCAATATAAGGCGTTTGTTCTATATTGACTAAATCAGTGGCGTATCCACTATGGGGGTAGTCGGGGCAACTGCCCCTCTCAACCCCAACCCCAACCATATGTATGTCTAAAATTTTACATGAAATTGCTCAAATTTGTTAGATATAATACATCGTTTGTAATGACTTTAAGTCAGTTAGTATTCAGTTAGTTGGTTCGTTTAGTTGAGCTGTAGCTATCTCTATAAATACTCTACTCTTGCTTGAGTTGATTAGTGAAATCATTACATTCATCATTCTCTCTATCTCTGAATTCTATTATGGTATCAGAGCTCTAAGCTCGATCCAACCATGGTGAATTCTTCACCCACTTCTTCTTCAATTACTGGAAACTCCATTCTTCCGGTGATTCTCAATCATCCTCTTCCGATCAAATTGACTCAAATAATTTTCTGTTTTGGAAGCACCATGTCGAATCTGTTATGCGAGCACATAAACTTCTGAAATTTGTTGAAAAACCAAAAATTCCTGAACAATTCATCGACGATGATGATGGCACGACTACAGGGAACGAAGAGTACACTATATGGGAGCAGCAAGATCAGATGCTATTCTCTTGGATTCTCGCATCACTCACTGAATCACTTCATGCTCGTGTTATTTAGTGCAGACACTCATACGAACTCTGGAGCGAGATTCATAAATTCTTTAAGTCGCACATCATCGCACGAGCTCGTCAACTCAAATCCGAACTCTATAATACCAGCAAAGGTGATCGATCTATTACTGAGTATCTTTTGCATATTCAAAGCATTGTTGACAACCTCACAGCTGTAGGAGAATCTATTTCTCCTGAGGATCACATTAATATGTGATCCTCGAAGGCCTTCCTGAAGAGTATGAAGCTCTTGTTTCATCTATTTCTTCCAGAAGCATTCTCGATCCTATCACTCTCTCTGAACTCGAAGGTTTGTTGTTAGCTAAGGAACTTCGAGCCAGAAAACAACATGAATCTTCACAGCAAAATCTGTTTTCAGCTAATGTTGCTCGCTTAGAAACCTCCACTTCAAATGATGACTTTATATCTCAAAATTCTACAGAAAACTCCTCTGCGTATGTTGCTCAGTTTCCTAATTCCAACAATAATGCTTCATACAGAGGTAGAGGTCGTGGAGGACCCTTCAGAGGGCGAGGAGGTCGCCCTGGAGGTCGCAGTTCAGTTGTTTGCCAAGTCTGTGGCAAAACTGGTCATAGTGCTTTGGTATGTTACCACAGGTCATAGTGCAGGTTTCAAGCAAAGCAATTGTGATCCTTCTTTGCTTCTCTTTACATCTTCTGGAGTGCTCATATATGTTCTAATCTATGTTGATGACATCCTTGTCATTGGAAACAATTCCCCAGCAATTCACAAGCTCATTAATAAGCTGAATTCCTCCTTTTCTCTCAAAAACTTGGGAGACATTGATTTCTTTTTAGGAATCCAGGTTCATAAACTTTCAGATGGCAGCCTACACCTTTCTCAAGCCAAATATATCAGAGATTTACTCAATCAAGCTGGTATGATAGATTCTAAGGGAGTTCAGACCCCTATGATAAGTACTTGCAAGCTTACTCATACAGGGAGTGACTCATTGCCCGATCCTTCTCAATACAGATCTATAGTAGGTATCCTGCAATATGCTACCTTAACCAGACCTGAGATAAGCTATGCTGTCAACAAGGTCTGTCAATTCATGGCTGCACCTCTACATGATCACTGGAAAGCAGTGAAACATATACTACGCTCTTTCTGGCACCACTACTCATGGAATTATTATAAAACCCATCCCTCTATCCACTATGCCTCTACCCATTTCAGCATTCTGTGATGCTGATTGGGCCTCTGATCCTACTGACAGAAGGTCTACATCTTTTCTTGATCCAAATATCATTTCTTGGTGGTCCAAGAAACAGTTGCGTGTTGCAAGATCCTCAGCAGAAGCTGAGTATAGAAGCTTGGCTGATACTGCAGCAGAACTTCTATGGGTTCAGTTCCTCCTTCATGAACTCCAAGTCCCCTTTTCAACTCCAAGAATATATTGTGACAATCTGAGCACTGTTCAACTGGCTCATAATCCTGTCCTACACTCTCGCATAAAGCACATGGAGATTGATCTATTCTTTGTATGAGAGAAAGTCCAACTCAAGCAACTGCAAGTGTTTCACATTCCTGCTCAACACCAACTAGCTGATATTTTGACTAAGCCCTTGTCTGCTTCTTCTTTCATTGACTTAAGGACCAAACTCAGTGTGACTACTCCTTCAGCTTCATCACCCTGAGTTTGAGGGGGGAATGTTAGATATAATACATCGTTTGTAATGACTTTAAGTCAGTTAGTTGGTTCGTTTAGTTGAGCTGTAGCTATCTCTATAAATACTCTGTACTCTAGCTTTAGTTGATTAGTGAAATCATTACATTCATCATTCTCTCTATCTTTGAATTCTTTTAAAATTAAGAGTTAAACATATGAAAAATTCTAAAATAGTATTAAAAATGACCCCCCTAAATATAGGATTTATGTAATTTTGTTATTTTTAACTTCTATTTAGGTAATTTTCTCAAATTTATCTTTTTTATTGTTTTTTTACCTCGAGGAGTCGGGAAGAGGGGGGCTGGGGGAGCCTGGGCTAAACAAGGGTGAAACTCCCTCCATGGATTTTGAACCCGAAACCTCCCTCATGGGAAAGTGAGTCGGTGACCAGTTGCAAAACCGTTTCCACAAATTTTATCTACAATTGCATATTTGCACACATGTAATATAAATTGATCTTCTTTTATGCATCATCATCATCATCACCTAGTGCCGCAAAGGCTCACTTATGGTGGGGTAAGGGGGGTCGGATGTACGCAACCTTACCCCTGTACTAAAGCACAAAGAGACTGTTTCCGGATGACCCAAGGTGAAAATCGTGTCAAAAATGCATGGACTGACTGCTGCTTCATAACAAAGAAGCGCAGACAATTTAGTGAGCCATTTTGCTTTATACCATCATATTCTCAAGCCAAAAAATAGTGAGTGTTTGGCTCCCGTATTTCTTAGATTGTAAATGTAACCCCTCAATTGTCCAAATTGCTATAAATGTGGTTCTTTGAGGGGTGAAATTGTACAATTGCCCACATTGTACATTTCACCACTTAAAGAGCCACATTTACATCAATTTGGACAATTGAGGGGTGACATTTACAAACTTGAAAACACGGGTCTGACATTTCAATATGGTGACTATTTGAGGAACTAAAAGTGTGATTTTCCCTATTAATAATGTGATTTGCTATTTGTGAACTATGTGACTAAGTTCTAGTATAAGTTTGCCCCCACTCACAAAGTTTTCTTGATACGCCACTGGACTAAATAGTAAGAGTTATTAAGGAACGTCTTTCGTTATTAATGACTATTCTAGATGAATTGGAAATACTCCACGACTGAGTATTTGAGATGGGATAGTTAAAATAGTAACCGTGATCTACGAGCATTTCATTAAGTGGAAATTAGCAAAACTAAGTCTCTATCTCATTGATTTATCACCTTATCATTCGTTTATCTTAGTGTTTTAATATTTTGAAGTGCATACAAACTTAAAACCCCCGTTGTAACAATTTCACATAAGAAGAATACATTTACCTGTGGATACGAACTCTACTACACTATACTACAATATTAGTGCTAGACTGCTAGCATTGAATTAATTTTGGGGCACACCCGACGACCGCGAGCTGCCAAGTAGTTAAACTAAAAGGGCCTTTTACATATTACCGGGATCCTGTACTTCTGCGTCATATGTTTGAATGGATTAAATCCTCACCTTTTGTTAGAGCTCCCTACTTGAAAATATCTCTTTATTATCATCATCACTATTTTAACATCATCATTCTTGTCGTTGTTGCTGTATTTATTATTATTGCTATTATTGTGATTAATTTTATTGTTATTATTGTTAACTTTACTATTATTATTATTATTATTATTATTATTGTTGTTGTTGTTGTTATTATTATTTTCTCATATTTTGCGTCATATGTTTGAATAGATTAAATCCTCACCTTTTGTTAGAGCTCCCTACTTGAAAATATATCTTTATTATCATCATCACTATTTTAACATCATCATTCTTGTTGTTGTTGCTGTATTTATTATTATTGCTATTATTGTGATTAATTTTATTGTTATTATTGTCAACTTTACTATTATTATTATTATTGTTGTTGTTGTTGTTGTTATTATTACTCATCTTCTTATTTTGTTGTCAGATTGATGTACCTTCAGGTCACAGGGATGGATGAGAGCTTAACTATCAAAGAGAGGATTGCCTTTGTTAGTGAAGTGTTTACGTTCTTGCTAATTATAAGGCATCTCCATTTGGCTTTTTATGTTCTGTCTGTTGTAACCTATTAACATTTGACTTCGTGTAGAAACTAAAATGTACTTCCTCTTTCCCATAAAAGGTTCCCTTTTTGACATGGCACACTCATAAGGATAGTCAAATTGTGTGGGTGAGATTCATGCAAGAGGAGAGAGAAATGATTTGATTCACAATATTCTTTCCTTAAATGGAAAGAAGAACCTTATCTTTAGACGGATGAAAAACGAAAGGGAACCTTTTTTCAGGAATGGAAGGATATCTCTTTTTCCTTTTCTGATTTACGCTGATTTGACATCCTTAAACAAACATCTCAACTGTAGACTGGCAACCCCTCTTCCTTTACCCGCACCTCGTGTCCGGAAAGTAGCTACCCAAGTCATCCACTGTGGAGGTAGTATACCAACATACATACATATGACAACCTAACATCTAGTCATCTACTAATCAACCTACTACTTAAAATCCTCCAGATCTTAGTAACCAACTAATGAATAGTAATGATAATAGAATAACTTCCTATTGCCATGGTTTTTATCCAAATAGGTACACAAACAAACACAGTCTCGTGTCCAAGTCGTACCTGTGTCCTACGTTGTTGAAAAAATGCTGTTTCTCATACCCTGTCTGTGCTTCATAGGCACATGGTAGTTTTTTTGCAATAAATTAAAAATTAAAATCATTCTTTTATTATGTTGTAGATTTGACGTAAAGTGGTTATCTACTCCATACATAGAAATAGCGTTCTAGTTAATTAATAGACTTGACTAATCCATGAATCTAAAAGTTCTACATCATCAAGTTGATAAGTTTGTACATTTGACCAAGTACTTTAATGAACTAATACAATATCTAAGTGTGACTATACCTTTTATTTAAACTGAAACAAACTATAAATAGTTAAATACTCGAGGTGGCATTTACTTTTTTCAACTGCTTCAGTACACCTTTCGAATAAATGCCAGTACAGTTTTCATCTACTTCAGGAAACTCAGCCCACTTGCTCTCTAAGATAGTTTTGTGGACAATTTCCATATTTCCATCTCTGTTGTCATGTGGTGTCTTTATTTTATTTGGTATAGGTTTAACAAATAGCCAAAGACATTATTGATTTGCATGTGATTCTGTTAGCATAACATGAGCTTAATGCACTTTCTCCCTTCTGACAACTGTAGCTGAGTTCTATGATGGACATTAGCAGTGATGCTCAAGTGCGCGCAAGTGGAGGGCTTCTCGCCATACTGGAGGATGAAAGGATAGTAGATACCCATGAACAAAATGAATTTGGAAATGCATCTATTGCTATTGACTCCATTGGTGAAATTTCTTTGTATCTTTTGCACGGTGTTCAATGAAAAAAATTGTGATTCTTTGTAATCTACACATGTTCCATGATGTTGGCAAAGCTATTAGTTGTGTTCCATGACTATCATGCAAAGAAAAAAATTTCTGAAACTTGATTCAGCTGCCCATGAGGCATTACAAATATTCCAAATAGACAAACATCCTAGCCATATGGGGATTGGGAAAGCAAAAGAGGGGTAAACCTCAGTTTCTATGATGTGCTATGTTTTTGCTTGGAAATTGGAATGTTAGCTGACTAGAAAATTTTCTTTCAGGTTCTCCGTATTTGGAATGATGAATAAGGTTGACAAAGCTGATTTTTGTTTGCAGTCATTTTATTATTCTTGTTGCTTGCTACATGAAGAATAACATTAAATATTTTTCCATTTACTTTTTCCAGTGTGTTACACCATTAGGAAGACGTCTTTTGAGGTACAAAGTTTAATGTTGAAACCGCTTGGTGCATTTGCTAATATATGTGTACTTTAGATGTTCTTCCTAAAATATTTATTTTTACCAGGAACTGGTTTCTGAGGCCCATACTGGATCTTGATGTTTTAAATGCCCGGCTTGATGCTGTATCCTTTGCTTAATTGAAAAGTGTCAGTTTTGCTATGGATCTATCCTATTGATTTGTAAGGCTGGATCACATTGACTTTGCCTTTTTTGTCAGATACTGTTGAAATAAGGTTCTTTGCATTTTCCAAACACTGTTTAAAGATTATCCATCAGTTTCTATGAAATGTCACACTAATCTGCTACTTTTGCCTACATTTATTTTTCATTGTGAGTTTTCCTTAGATGGGTGAAGATATCATTTCTCTTGTATGCCAAAGAACTATCATTTTCCTTGCGTGAAACATTGAAGTCAGTGAAAGATGTTCCCCGCATACTGAAGGTTTGACATATATTCTTCCAAGCACCTTTGCCTAGAGTAGTTGCTTTCATCCCATATAAGCAGTTTGGATGATGTTGATGGATTGCTCTTATAGTTCATTATCTTGCCCGTCAATTGGAGCAGTTATGCTATCTTATTTACAATGTAAAAGTTTACTTCACTTGCTTATGTTAAATCAGACTATATGTATTAAATTGTTTGGGGGGACAATGTGACATATAACTAACCATTTCTTCTCTATAAGTAAATCTTCTGTGTTCGATAGATATTTTAATTAAACTCTCTCTCTCTCTCTCCACTTTAAGAAATTCAACTCCCCAAGCTCTACATGCATGAATACGGACTGGGCTGCTTTTCTGAAGGTATACCAATGATTTTCTTGATTATTTTCTGCTAAATTATGTTGTTTTTTCCCATTCCACACAGTGCATTTTCAAGGACAAATGTTATTTTTCCTCCAGAGTATTTGCTCACTCTTGCATATCAACAAAATATTCGAAGTGGGCATTTCTGAAGATCTTAGAGATCAGTTGAAGTCTTTGAACATAGGTATTGTTAATAAGGTATTAGCTTAAGTAAAAACTTGGGCTACCTTTATTTACCTTATTTAGTCAGTTTGTTAGAGATCAAGCTTTTTGCAGGTTGCCGAGGACCTTTCAAGTGATCTGGCTTTTGTTTGTGAACTGGTTAGCTGTTTTTCTTTCATCATATTGTTAATGCATGTTGTTATTCACGGAATTTGGAGCAGTTTTCCTTTCACTGTGTGCACAATGTTGAATTTTTAATTGATATAAATCTCTAGTTGCAATTTATAAAGGCTAATACCATGCATGTATAGAGAAATAAAAGGTCAGAACATATTGGACTGTCATTATGGTTTCTAGGGACATGAATCACGCTACCATCTATACTTTAATACTCCCTCTTAAGACGGGACACAATTCATTTGATCCAAGGTTGACATAAAAACATGAACTTAAACCTTGATAACTTTAAACATGAAACAGAAATCAACTTGACTCTGGAAACTTAGAACTAGGCACGGATACATATGAAGAAGCATTGGCTTAGAAGATTAAAGGAGTACTGGTTTGGAATGTAGAAGTTTGAATAGGAACTTATCTCAAAGTTTTGCCTTTGGAGTTTATATCTAGTTTGCAAGAATCTTTTAAGTATGCTATAGCTCTCGCAATTTATCGCTAGCTTTGTTTTTCCTCATACACGAAAGTTATGATATATGGATGACTAGTTCGTAACTACGCCTGTGTTTTCTGTTGAAATCGTGTAGGTAGTTGGTGTTCTTGATGTAAATAGAAGTAAAGAGAAGGGTTATGAGACGATTGTGAAAGACGGTTTCTGTGATGAGGTGGAACTCTGTTGACTATGCTTTTTAGTTGTCTTGTCTCATTCATTTGGTTTACTCTGTTAAGTGTTGACAGTTGGATGAGCTGAGGCAAATATACGAAGGATTGCCTGACTTTCTGGACGAGGTACTTGCCTTTTTATTTGCAGCTAATCAGTTTGACAGCAGTTGAATTTATATAGTCAGGATTTGATATAGAGTATATCACAGGTTTCATTAATAGAACGTGCAAGACTCCCTCACATGATGGGAGATAAGGGCGTCCCTTGTATTGTCTATATGCATCAAATAGGTATTTCCGTATTTGTACTACCAAATGATCAGTTTGCTTTTGCCTCCTGTGTGTTTGCATAGCTGGTAAGTCCAATATGGGATTGGGATTTTTGTATAGCTAAATATGATGCCGCTTATTTTCTGACAAAGGAAATATAAGTAATGCCTACCGTATAGTTGGATTAAAGGAATTAATTACGTCTTGAGGAAACAGATTATTTACATGCCATCATTAGTACTGGAAAGGTTGTCTTGGGCCACCTACATATTTGCGTGAATAAAGTAATGACCACTGCATTTCTATCAACACCCAAAGAAAACAACTTCTGGAAAGAAATGAAAATTGCATTATGAGTACAAGGTCTACAGTCTTGTGACAATGTTGTGCTGTGTTCCATCATGTTGGGCTGAGTGCCTGAGTTAAATATAAAATATGTTTGTTTAACTTCACTACAATTTTTTACACATCTGCTGCTGATGTTTTTGGAAACAAATTTGTACTTCAATGAACTTTTTTGCTTTGTGATTAGAACACGACCTTGATAAATATAGAAATGCTTTGTCTCACTTGCAGGCTTCTTATTCTGTATTTTCAATAGAAAACTTGATGAAGAAATGCAAGAGAAACCTCCTGATTTTGAGTTTTCTGTATGCCACTATCCAGTATTACTAATTCCTTACTCTGCTGTTATATATATCACATTCTTATTTGTCAATGCTGTTGGTTAATTACATAGTTTGTCGATGAGGATGGAGATAACAAGAAGTTCTTTTACCGCACCTCAAAAACACGAGAGTTGGATACCCTTCTTGGAGATATATACCATAAAATCCTGGGTATGCATTAGTGGATACCTTGGCACTGATTAAATTTTCCAAATGGTTCTCTATTGGCTTTAGATTTATGGCTGTTTTTTGAATAACAACTTGAAATCTTGATTTCTTACCAAAAGAGCAAAACTTTGTACTCTTGTATCAGTTCAAATTTGACATAGAATAATTTATTATATTCAAACAACCTTATTATTGTTCCCTACCATTTATTTGACACTTGTATTTAGACATGGAGAGAGCAATTACAAGGGACATAGTATCACATGTCCTACAATTTGTAGTTCCCATCCACAATGCTGTTAATTTTGCAGCTGAGCTTGATTGGTGAGATGTTCAATAGTTGTATGTACTTACGATTTTTGAGTGAAAGACCAAGTTTTCTTTCAATTACTGTTCTGACATTGTATTGTATTTTCTCTAGCCTCTTATCATTATCACTGGTTGCTCGTCAAAACAACTATATAAGGCCAACCTTGACTGCACAAAATGTTCTTGACATACATAACGGAAGGTGAAGCTTGTTCAATTGGGTTTGTAATGCATTTTCTTTTTGTACTGTAGCAGCAGTTTCAAATAAGTTTGGACCATTTGAGACTCATATAAGATGCCATAAGAAAGCATTTTTTCAGACATCTTTTGCAGGAAATGACAGTTGATACATTCATTCCCAATGATACAAAGATTTCAGAAGAAGGTGGTACAGATATCATGCTAGTTTGAGATTTATCCATTATAATCATGCATTCCAGTACTGCAGTACACATTACTTGTCATCCTGTTGGTTATACAATTTTCAGGAAGGGTTAATATCATAACAGGGCCTAACTATTCTGGTAAAAGTATATATGTAAAGCAGGTGAGTTGTCTCTGTCTTTAACCTTCGTAGGTTGTATTCATGTGTAATTGATATTCTAATGTGTTAAAAAAATTGTTAGGTCGCATTAATAGTCTTTCTTTCCCATATTGGAAGTTTTGTACCAGCTGAGGCAGCAACAGTGGGTCTAACTGACAGGCACTGATTTATTTTCCCCATGTTTATTGATCATTTAAATTATTATATATCGTGCATGCATATTTTCAAACCCAATAGCCAAAATGTCACCGCCTTTTGAATCCAATTTATTGCATTTTTGGTGTGTTTAGAGCCACTAGATCTCAAACCATATGTATTACATCATTCTCATTTTTCATGGGAAGAACTATGGATATAGATATGCGTTTAGATACACACACACACACACACACACACACACACAGAGATATATAGTGTGGTTCGTGTGAGAACGATTGTCTCGTGAGAAATGAAAATGATCAAAAATGGTGTACATTCTGGTTCACGTCGGTGCACATTGTGATTCAGACCACACATCTCATGGAACCAGAAAAGTTTGATTATTTACCAAAATGTCACCGCCTTTTGAATCCAATTTATTGCATTTTTGGTGTGTTTAGAGCCACTAGATCTCAAACCATATGTATTACATCATTCTCATTTTTCATGGGAAGAACTATGGATACAGATATGCGTTTAGATATATATATATATATATGTATATATATATATATATATATATATATATATAATGTGGTTCGTGTGAGAACGGTTGTCTCGTGAGAAATGAAAATGATTAAAAATGGTGTACATTCTGGTTCACGTCGGTGCACATTGTGATTCAGATTTCAGACCACACATCTCATGGAACCAGAAAAGTTCATTTTATTTACAAAAGTGCCGCCGCGTTCTCTAGTTCATGGCGGTGCACATTATTTCTATTACACGCTCTCAAATCAAACACGTTGGATTCATTTTCATTTTTTTCTTTAGATCACATTCTCATTGGTGTCCACCATTAACAAAGTGGCGAAGTAGATACTCGGAGAATCTAAGGGATGTCTGCCACCAAAAAAGAACACGTCTCTGTGGAATGATGAGGTGAAACAAGCAATAAGGATCAAAAGGAAATGCTATAAGAAATTGGGCAAAAGTTGGAGCGACGAGAACATAGAGGAGTACAAGGAGGCTAGAAGAAGAGCAAAGAAAGCTGTGAAGAAAGCCAGAGGAAAAGTGAACAAGGAATTTTATGTAAAATTGGACTCTAAGGAAGGAGAAAAAGACATCTACAGACTTGCTCGCCTTCGTGACCGTAGGACTCAAGATATCAGAAAAGTTAAGTGTGTGAAGGATGTCGATCAAAGGGTACTAATGGAGGACGAGGAAATAAAAGAAAGGTGGAGGTCATACTTTGATACCTTGTTCAACAAGAATAAAGTGCAAGGTATTGATGATCTTACTATACCAGAGTGTGGTAAATCGGGACTTCGTGAGAAGAATTCAAATAACAGAAGTTAAAGAGGCTATGAGAAAAATGGGGCAGAAGAAAGCAGTGGGCTCAGATGGAATACCGATCGAGGCTTGAAGAAGTTTGGGAGAGAAAGGCATTCAGTGGCTAACACGTTTCTTCAACATGATTTGGAAGAACAACAAAATGCCAGTGAGTTGGCGGAAGAGTACTCTCATTCCCCTATTTAAAAATGAGGGTGATGTACAAAAATGTGCCAACTATCGAGGGATTAAGCTTATGAGTCACACCATGAAACTTTGGGAGCGAGTGGTTAAGCAAAGACTTCGTAAAAGTGTGAAAATTTCGAAGAATCAATTTGGTTTTATGCCTGGACGCTCAACAACTTAGGCCATTCACCTTCTTAGACAAGTTGTGGAGTAGTATAGAGACACAAAAAAAGATCTGCATTTGGTGTTCATTGACTTAGAGAAGGTATATAATAGGGTATCTCGAGAAGTCCTTTGTTGGGCCTTAACTAGAAAAGGCATATCAAGTAAGTATTCAGTATCATCATGGATATGTATGATGCTTGTACTACAAGTGTCCGCACTAGTGTAGGGAGGACTGCAGAGTTCCTTATTACTATCGGGGTGCACCAAGGATCTGCTCTGAGTCCTTTCTTATTTGCTATAGTCATGGATGAACTTACGAAGTCAATTCAAGAAGATATACCGTGGTGCATGATGTTTGCCGACGAAATTGTATTTATTGATGAGACGCAATCCGGTGGAAATATGGCGACAAACATTGGAGACCAAGGGTTTCAGACTGAGTCGAAGCACGACTGAGTATATGGAGTGCAAGTTTGGTGGAGGTGCAAGTAGTAGCAACAGTGGGATTACTCTTGATGGTAAGGAGATACTAGCGTGTGAATTAGATGGAGATGTATGTCATAGAATCAGAGCTGGGTGGATAAAATGGAAGAGTGCATCAGGATTTCTATGCGATCGAGGTATGCTGACTAGACTGAAAGGTAATTTTTATCGAACAACAATAATGCCTACATTAATGTATGGCGTTGAGTGTTGGGCGGTGAAGCAATGCCACATTCAAAAGTTGAGTGTGTCAGAGATGCGTATGTTGCGTTGGATGTGTGAACATACCAGAAAAGACCGCTTGAGGAATGAGATAATCAGACAAAAGGTGGGAGTAGCACCTGTAGAAGATAAGATGTAGGAGTCTCGTTTGCGGTGGTTTGGGCATGTGCGTAGAAGACCGAGTGATGCACCTTTTAGACGACTTGAGGGGTGGGGAGAAGAGACAGAGAAGAGAGGGAGAGGAAGACCCAAACAGACTTTGATGAGAGGAATCAGAACTGATATGCGTCTTCTTGGGTTCGATGAGAGTATGGCTTTGGAGAGAGCAAAGTGGAGGGCGCACATTCGTGTGGACGATTGGTGTCTTTTCTACATTTCCTTTCTCTTTTCTTTTATCGTTTATCTTCTTTATCTTTTATATTCTTATGTTATTTTTATCTTCTAGCTTTATTATGCTCTTTTATTTTTCTTATATTCTTATGTTATTGTTATCTTATATTTATTTATCTATATTTTATCTGTTTTATGTTACTTCTTCCCCCCTCCTTGTCTGTCTCTCGTTTTGGCATCGATATCATAGATCGATTCATGTTAGCCGATCCCAAATTCTTTTGGGATTAAGGCTTGGATGTTGTTGTTGTATCACATTCTCATTGGTTACACACGCACTTCCTGTGTCTTATTTAGTTGCATCACATTTGAACTTTAAGTTTAGCAACACATGTTTTGACCATTAGTATATTTAAATCGTCTATAGTAAATGTTTTGAAATTTCATATGTGAAAATTTACATTGAGACAAGGTTACCAATATTATTCAGTGTGATTTTTTGACACATTAATAAAATAAAATGAAGTCAAAGTATAATATCTGAATAATGCAAAAGTCTAAGTGTTGTAATTAGCTAAGAACTGAGGTTGTGTGTGTGTCTGTCTATATATAGACACTGCAGTCTCTCTTATCAAGATACACTGACATGTAGCAAGCTGAAAATGACAGGATATTTTGTGCAACGGGAAGCAAGTTTATGACTGCTGAACAGTCAACGTTTATGATTGATCTGCATCAAGTGGGAATAATGTTAAGGTATCTGAGTATCTGACTGTGCGTACTTATGATTTTTAGTCTAAGGATTGCTAGTGAATAAGGTAAGTTAAAAATGCCGAATGCTCTTTTATGAACCAGGAAAAGAAAACTCCTTGACATAAAGTGTTGATTGAATGTTCAGATTGTTCTGATGATTATATTATACTCCCTCCATTCCTTAAAGAAGTTCCGATTTTGGTTTACAATGTTTGACCGGCCATAAAGTTACATATTCAGAAAATTAAAAGTTTTATAAAGTCAAAAATAAGAATTGAGATTTGATAAAGTTGTATACATAAAGTAAAAGATTGAGAGCTATTCAAATTGACCAGATGTATAGTGAACGGGAACTACTTTTAGGAACAGCGGTAGTATTATAATGATGTCAAGCCGTCCAGGCCATGATGAAATGATCATCATAGCTGCCAATACTTTGATTTAAAACATTGTTGCTATATAATACAAAAATAAGGGAAACATACTTTAAATAATACCATCACTGATCAACCAATAATGATAAGTACTATAAATATAACTATATGATACCCCAAGCCCCCAACCATTCAAATATATAACAAAAATGATACACGACCACTCTTTGGTATCAACTATCAAGTCCGGTCATTAGCCTATCAAAAAATGAAATGAAGCCATCAAATAAGCTTTATTTGATGATTTAAATGATCAGAATTGAGGTCGAAAACGGGCTCCGTTTTTTTTTTTGTTATATGTTTGAATAGTTTGGACTTTGGGTATAAAACATTCATTTCTATAGTATGTATTATTATTGTTGACCGGTGGTAGTTGGTACTCCCCCCGTATTTTAAAGTTTGCTTTACTTTCCTTTTATGGATGTATTTAAAAGTTTGCTACACTTTCCCTTTTTTTGGAAAGTTTTTCCTTTATAAATACCCAATTTCTTACTTTTTCTACGTTTTATCTTCTCTTTCATACTTTTCCACCATCTCTTCTACTTTTTCTACCGTATTCATTACCCCTACTATTTCATTCTTAAACAGTGTGTCCAAAGTCCAAACCTATTGTAGTGAACTTTTAAATATGGAGGGAGTATTATTTAAAGCTATTTTCCCTAAAAACAATTGACATATTGTACATACCTACCTACCTAGGTAAGCCATAGCAGACCTAATGATTTGCTTTTATACAATCTGAACATAGTTTATGTGTACATAGCAGCCTGCGTAATGGTTTTCTCCTTGATTACTCGTTCCTACTTTATATTATTCTAATACGTGAACATCACTAGGCATGCAACCCCTCATTCCTTGTGCTTGTTGGATGAATTTGGAAAGGGCACTCTCGCTGAAGGTTAGTGTCTGTAACACTATCACTCCATCAACTTATGTGCATGCTTTGTTTGGTTACATTTACTGTATTATAACTCCTTCAGTTTTGTAAGCAAAATGTATATTTCTATCTGCAAATATTAACTATTTGACTGGAGCATGTCAAGAACTTGGACAAGCGGAGTAATGCCCATAGTTTTCTACTGGTACACATATATATCACATGCTTTGTTTCTCATGTCAGATGGCATTGGTGTCCTTGGTGGAGTTATAAATCATTTTGTATCCTGTTATGAACCTCCAAAGGTCTGCTATTCCTTTCTCATTTTTTTCACATTCCAACTTCTTGTTCATCTTGCCTGCCAAATTCAATTCATTGCCAAAAAGAATCTTAATCAGAAGCTTCAAATTAATTGCAGGTTCTTGTCTGTACTCATTTGACAGAGGTATTCGATAGTGGATGCTTATTGGAGGTAGGCATGTAGGATCATGCTACAACTTACTGCATGGATTTCAACTTCTTGGTCGTAACTACATCTCAGGCCTTTTTCCCGTCTTTTAAATTTCAGTCCAAAAGGATCAAATATTACACCATGAGTGTGTTAAGTCCAGAAAAAGGTTCTGGTGATCTTGAAGATGTTGTATTCTTGTATAGGTATTACAATTTTGACCATTATGTCCTACACTAACACGACTGGTTAATGTTACATGCTACAACTAGTTGGGCATACATTGCTTCATTTGTCATGTATGATCTTGGCAAGACCATCTATGCATGAAAATGACCTTTCTACGCAATATCTGTAGGCTGGTTCCAGGCCGTGCACTTCTTAGCTTTGGTACATGTCAAAACATTTCGAGTATTAAAACTTGATTGTACCTAGATGTCTTAATATGACTAATTAAATTTCAATTTCATGCAGGATTACATTGTGCACTGCTTGCAGGTACTCATAGTACCCAATTTTTATGAGATATTGAAGTCATAAAATGAAACATTTCACGATGTAGATAAGATACTCATATTAGTGAGTTGTAAAATAGAAAACTAATCAATATAGGGGTTGGACCAAGCCTAGCTATATATGACTCGGGTTTTTGTGCCCGGCTTATTGGCCAAGCACATTGCTTGGCTCTCAGGAGTTGTCAGATTGGAGCAAGGCCTGTAGACTGTAGAGACATGACCATCTGATGGCTCTTGACCTCTTTAACTCTATCTTACATGGTCCCCTACTTTGTATTCCATGATATGTAGTATCCCTTCCCAGATACAATAGCCTTGTGATTTGAGTCTAGAAGCCCTTCATACCTCCCCACTCCCATGCATTCTCCCCACAGGCCAGATATGTTTTGCTTTATTCCTGCTCTACCCTTGTATCTTGACTTAGAATATACCACCAATCGTAAAATTATGTAGCTTCACCGATAGCTCTGTTCTATCAATTGGCCTAGGCGGCAGTGTGGCACCCCAATTTTAGTCTTTTCTGTCCAAAAATTGTTCTGGCAATTAGACAAGTGTCTAGAGCATTTTTTTAAAGATTACAGCCCTACACTAAAATGCATGTAAAACAAGGTACTCGGGAACCAAGGTAACAAGTCAACAACTATAGTTCTAATTATAAACATTATTTTATGTTTTACAATTATGTAATACCCATTACATTTATCTAATACCTTTTGCATAATTGCACTAGCATTGAACTTCGACTTGGAATATAATGCAATTCCTAAAATTATGTGCATCACCGATAGGCGATTGTTTAGATTCTACAGTTCAAGTTTAAATTTCTATATAGCAGGAATACATTTACATCCTCTAGTACATTACTTTAATCCTCATCATCATCATTGCCGCAAAGGCTCCCACACCTTCGGTGGGGCAAGGAGGGTCGGATGTACGCAGTCTTACCCGTGTACACGGTAAGTTAATTCAATGTTTTAAATAAAATCAGGAATACCCCAAGAAGTCGTTAAGCGAGCAGTGGCTGTTTTGGATGCTCTGAAAAATGACCAGCATATTGATCGGCTGCATAGTGAGAATGTATTGGTTCGTGATCAGCATTACAAGGTCAATATATCAAGTATTTTATGACCAATTAATTTATCCTATGAAATTATGAACCAAACTTATATGCAGTCAAATGCAGGATGCAGTGGAGAAGTTGCTAGCCTTTGATGCAATGCATGGAGACATGCGCCAGTTCTTTGAAAACATTCTTCCTTCATAGTTTCAAGAGTGCTCGCATTACATCCAGTGTCTCATACTCTCATCTCCTTGCATGCAAAACCTGTTGATAAATATTTGATAACATATATGATAGAATGTTAGATGAGGGCTTTCCTAAAATACTATTGAAATAAAATTTATGAAGAAAAATGTGACTAAATTTACTATGAGTATACCTTCATGATCATTGCTGTCTAGAATTGAATATAATCACCCACAAACAGTGACTATTTTAGTCACTATGTATAAAAATATACAATTTTGTCCATTATTCTTATTTTAGTCATATACTAGTCATTATTTTATATACAATGTCTTGCGAGTAGTGAGCGAAGTATGATAAAGCTCAAGATAGGCGCACTTGCTTAATGAGCATGCTCGAGCTTAGTTCAAGTTTGAATTTGATCAAGCACAAGTGTAATGTTGAGTGAGTAGCTCACGAGCGTCTTATCTCATTTTCACCCTTACACATCGGTGTATGAGCGTATCCACTACGGAGGCAGTGGGGGCAGCTGCCCCCTCAACCCCAATCCAGCCCTATATATATATATATACACACACACACACACACACTAACACATACATATAGAGAGAAAAATTCATGTCCGGAATTCTGGACGGCGGTGTTTCGGGCTCTTCCTGGTAGGTGTTTTTGATGAAATTTTTATGGCATGTTCTTCATCAAGTCTAGATCTACACCAAAAATCAACTAAAAATTCAATCGGGAAGACCGTTAAATAATTTTTGGAAGTTAACTGTGTTTTATATGTATATTTTGGAGTAGTTATCTTCCAAAAATCATTTGATTTGATAGAGGAATTCAAGTATTCAACATATTGTTTTCGGATAGATTCATGATCCCGAGGAGGATAACGGTTTAAAGGAACAAGGCCAAAAGATGCCAAGGATTCGAAGGCATTAGTGGACAAAGTTGGAAGAAGGATGACACCATTCACCCTTCTTCCCCTGAGTCGTCTTTGGCAGTCTAGCTTCAAAGACCACAAGGATGTCCAACACGTAAAAAGATAAGTGAGAGCCTGAGGGAATAAGAATCTTTTCATAATCAACACAAAACCGTAGTTGTTCGCTGACTTCACATGGTTCCTGGACGATTCAAGGCTGGATGATACAACCAGAGTTAGATGACATGAGCGAAGGTGGGGATTTGTTGACAAAAGAAGAAGAGGGCGAAGAAGAATCATTTTCCTCCTGATGGTGTCCAAGGAGCGTCACAGATAGGGGTGGACTCAGGTCCGGGTCGGGCCTAGGTCCGAGCGGGCCGGCGGTTCAGGAATGGTGGACCCGGGACTGGCCCGGGTAGCCACCGGGTCCGGGCCGGGCCGGGCCGGGTAGCCACCGGGTCCGGGCCAGGCCGGGCCGAGCCTCCGGTTTGGATTTTTTTTTTTTGCTTTCCTACCCCCCTCCCAACCCCCCAAACCTATCCTACCCATCAAGCCCAACCCGGGTGGAACCCCAAAAATGAAAAAAAAAATAAAAAAAATTCAATTTGGCCCAGGCCCGAGCCCGACCCGGCCGGACCGGTTCACCAAATTTGAGACCCGAGGCCCGGACCCGCCCTACCCCCCGGGCCTAGGCCCGACCCGGACCCGAGAACCGGGCCGGTCTCGGTCCCGCACAGTAGCGGGCCGGGCCAGGCCGGTCCACGGGCCGGGTGGCTTGACCCGAGTCCAACCATAGTCACAGATGGTTAACAAATGTTGAGCTCGAGACGGATTTCCGGTGAGAAGTGGAGTTGAATCTCTGGACCATTCACTATTGGAGTTGATTATCAGTTATGGTTTGGTAAACAAGATTAGTAAACAATGATTTCGTAATGCAAACTAATTCTAAATCTGCCAATTATTTGTTAAAATAGATATCGAGTTCAAGTTCTATCTTTTGGTTAATTGATGTTTCTAAACTTAAGTTACTAGTGTCGGCACCCATGCGTCGCATGATAATTTTATTTGCTTGTAAGTGTGGTGGATATCAGTTGGTTAAAAAAAAGAAAATCGGTTGGATGTATGATGTAGAGGATTTTTGGTACTATTGAAATTGGATAATCGTTTGAATTGGTTGAAACAGTTCTAGTGTGAAAAGTTATACTTCGCACTACACATTAAAATGTAAGATACAATGAATTAAAAAAAACATTATATGAAAAATAGTTAAAATGAGCCTATCAAATCAATTTATCTAATTCATGTAAAAAGATAACTTCAACCTTATTTGTTATTATTAAATATTTTTACACGTGAAATTAAAAGTCATATACGTACTTCGTATTTGATAAAATAATCGGTTGATAAAACTCATATATGTTCAGATTAATTGTGATCATATATGATTTTATGATATGAGTGAATGATTTTGTGTTAGAATGTAAATGTGTAATGTAATTTTTTCTGCTTAAGCGTGATCAGATATGATTAATTTAATTTTTGTTTTATGTGGTCTGATAGTTCGATATACGAAGTAAGTGTATATAAGACGGGTGTTGAAAATGTCTCTAACATAATGGGCGAAGGACTAAAAATGACAGAAAACACAAATTTTATTGTCTAAGGATGTTTTCTTTTGGACTATTTTCATCCCATACAAACCAGACCTGATCAGATCAGACCAGATCAAACCAAATTTAAACATACTAGACTTGGACAATTATAAATATACAGAGACCGGACATTTACCAGACCAAACTAGATCAGATTTAAAAAAACCAGACCAGACCAGCAAAATTCAATTCAAAAGAAAAAATCCTAAGTCTACTTTGGTTTGATTTATTTAAATCTTATTCGTTCATATTTGAAATTGAAATTAGTCTAATTAACAATATTAGCCAATAGTCAAGTATTAAACTTCAATCATAATTTGAATAATTCCTATATGAATGACAAAGTAATTTACTAAAAAATATAAATGTAATACACCAAACGTATAGAGTCATGATATGTTTTAATTTTTGAATTGAGGTTTTGAATGTTGATCTGATAAAAATAATATTGATAGAAGATAAATATGAAGTGAGAAATTCATATAATAGCATAATGCTTCGCACCTTTTATTAAGCATACGTAGGTATATATATATGTGTTACAAGGAGTCCTACTAGCTAGCTTCTCACCAAAAAAGAGATGGTGTGCATGGCCCATGCAAGGTGTTAGGAAACAAACAGGAACATGCACCATACACATATACAATTAATAAAGAAGATTCAATGTATCTGTTTGCATTTCTCAATACTCCCCCTCAAGGTGGAGTGTGAAGGTTACAAACACCCAACTTGCTCCGGAGAAATTGAAAACGATCAGTTCCAAGTGCTTTAGTAAAAATGTCCGCGACTTGATTTTCTGTGGAAATTGAGCATGGTTGAATTTCATTACTAGCCACCCTTTCTCGCACAAAGAAACAGTCAATTTCAACATGTTTAGTGCGTTCATGAAACACTGGGTTAAGGGCGATGTGCCGTGCAACTTGATTGTCACAGTAAAGGGGTGTGGGACCCATTTGGAGAACTGTGAGGTCCCGAAGTAGCCACCGTAACCATAAGATCTCACTGATTGTAACAGCCATAGCACGATATTCTGCTTCAGCGGAAGAGCGAGAAACGAAAAATTGCTTCTTTGTTCGCCAGGATATTGGCGAATTTCCAAGTGTGATGAAATAACCAGTGCTAGAGCGACGAGTGAAGGAACATCCCGCCCAATCGGAATCACAATAACCTTGTAAGGTATAGTCATCATGAGATGATAGGAATATGCCTTGCCCTGGTGTTTGTTTCAAGTAACGGAGTATTCGTATGGCTGCATCAAGATGAGTTTGTCGAGGATTAGTGAGAAATTGACTGAGCTGACTAACAGAGTAAACAATATCCGGGCGAGTAACTGTAAGATATAGTAGACGCCCAATAAGGCGGCGATAAGAAGAGGCTTCCACCAGTGGGCTATCATCATCCGGACGAAGCTTTAAATTTTGCTCCATGGGAAAAAAACATGGACGGCTAGCGAGAAGACCACTTTCTTCTAAAATATCCAGAGTATATTTGCGCTGGCTCAAGACAAAGCCTTCAGAAGAACGAGCAACTTCGATGCCAAGAAAATATTTTAATTTACCCAAGTCTTTAATGCTAAACTCAGTATCCAAGTACTCTTTTACCACGTCAATGTGAGTCATGTCATTTCCGGCTAGGATGACATCATCTACGTATATAAGGGAAAAAGTGGTAATTGAGTTCTGTCGGAAAATGAATAGTGAGTGGTCTGCTTGGGATTGGCGGAATCCAATTTTAATGAGGGCCTGAGTGAATTTGTGATACCAATTACGTGATGCCTGTCGTAATCCATACAGAGATTTTTGTAATTTGCAAACGCGAGTGTCACCTGATTTTAAAAAACCTTGTGGCATACGCATGTACACATCTTCCAAAAGATCCCCATGAAGAAAGGCATTGTTGACGTCCAATTGGTGTACTGTCCACTGGCGTTTGGCCGCGACGGCTAATATGCATCGTACAGTGACGAGTTTGGCAACTGGGGCAAAAGTTTCATGAAAATCAACTCCTTCAACTTGAGTAAAACCCCTAGCCACCAATCGAGCTTTGTACCGTTCCACATCTCCGTTGGGTTTATATTTAATTTTATAAACCCATTTAGAATCAACAATTCTTTTTCCGGGTGGTGGATGAACCAAAGTCCAAGTTTTATTTTCTTCCAAAGCATGTATCTCTTTTTGCATGGCCTCACGTCATAAAGGATCCCGGACTGCCTGTGAAAAATATTTAGGCTCATCACGCGAAGTGATGGCCGCCAGAAAGGCTTTATGTGTAGACGAAAACTTTTCATAGCTGAGAAAATCAGAAAGAGGATATACCGTTGAATTTACTGAGTTGATACCGGGTCGCGAATGGTCAAATGAGGGAGGCATATCAGTTTCATAATTTTCAAGATGCTTTGGAAATATCCGGATCCTATTACTCCTTCTTGGCTCATTACAACGTGCAATGTATGGAGCCTCATTTGATTGACTAGATGGTCCCATATGATTTGGCTGATGTGTAGAATGATCATTATCGGTACAAATTATTTGAGACGGGGATCCATGTATGACATCATAAGACAACCGTTCGGAAGGTATAGGGGTGCTCTTATTTCCGTCTTTCGAGCCACTATTATTATTGTCTCTTGGCTTACTTGTGGGGCTACTGCCAGGAGCATTAAAGGGCAACTGTTGGTGAGTAATGGAGCTGTCGGCATCCGTTTGTCCGTTTGTAGCTGCTGGCCGAGATGAGACCGTCACTTTCCTGTGCAGATGAGGGCTGTCCGCTGGAAGCTACTCGGTGGGGTTGACTATTTGAAGATAAAGTAGTTTCCTTTTGCACTTGTGGAACCCATTCACGGAAGTAATCTCTTGCAGATTGCTGGCTGGAATTTTCTTGAACCACAGGATCCTCATGACTCAAAAATTGTTGATAAACTTTATCAACGAGCACCCCAAAATCAAGATCTTGATCAAGCATTATCTTAAATGGAAACTTTTCTTCAAAAAATGTTACATCTCGAGAGCTATAAGCAATTTGTTTTTGCAAATCAAAAACTCGATAAGCCTTTTGACCATTCGGATATCCAATAAATATACAAGGACTCCCCCTTTCACCGAATTTATCTTTTTGTTTATTGTCATGTGCATAGACCAAACAACCAAATACCCGTAAGTGACCATAGGTTGGTACTCTTCCAAATAACATTTCGTAAGGACTTTTGTTGAAAATAATAGGCGATGGCAACCTATTAATAATGTAAACAGCAGCTAAAATGCATTCACCCCAAAAATAAATGGGTAAGCCAGACTGGAACCGAAGGGCCCTAGCAACTTCCAATATGTGTCTATGTTTACGTTCCACAACTCCATTTTGTTGCGGTGTATCTGTGCATGAGGTTTCTAACAATATTCCATTACGTCCATAATACTCAAATAAAGCATTGGTTTGGAATTCCATACCATTATCAGCTCGTATGCGTTTAACTTGTTGCTCAAATTGAGTCTTTACCATATTGCAAAATTGAATTAATAGTTGAGAAACCTCAGATTTATTTTTCATTAAATAAACCCAGACACCCCTAGTAAAGTCGTCAACAATGGATAGAAAGTACCGTGCACCAGAAATTGCATCACATCTGTAGCCTCCCCAAATGTCACAATGTATCAACTCAAAGCAACGAGTTGTCTTAATGCTGCTTGTAGAAAATGGTAGTCTAGTTTGCTTAGCTCGGATGCAGGGATCGCAAAATTCATGACTTCGTCTAAATCCACCGAGAGAAGCAATGTGCTGTAATTTTTGGTCAGATGCATGTCCCAAACGTTGATGCCATAAATCAGATTTAACACAGACAGACATTGCCACCCCTTTATCTCTTGAAGAATCGAGGTAGTAAAGACCATTTTGATATCGACCCACCCCAATCAGCTTTCTCGAGGGTAGATCCTGTAAAATGCAGAAGTCTGAAAAAAATGTGAGTGTGCAATTTAAATCCTTCGTCAGACGGCTAGCTGAGAGCAAATTGCACTGAAATTTTGGGATATATAAAACACGCTGAAGATACATCCCATTGGGTAAATATAGACCACCAACGGCATGAACAGGAACCACTTCACCATTAGGAATCTTGACAGACATTGCGGAGGTGTGATTCAAGATATTAGTGAGATTAGTATCACTACAAGTGATATGCTCTGTAGCTCCGGAGTCAATAATCCAAGAGCGAAAATGCGGCAATAAATCTGCCATGATTTTAACCCGGAGAAAAAGAAGGGAAAATCAAGGGAAAACTAAAATAGAAGAATTTTGTTTTCAGGATTTCGGCTCTGATACCATGATAAAAATAATATTGATAGAAGATAAATATGAAGTGAGAAATTCTTATAAGAGCATAATGCTTCGCACCTTTTATTAAGCATACGTAGGTATATATATATATATATGTGTGTGTGTGTGTGTGTGTGTGTGTGTGTGTGTGTTACAAGGAGTCCTACTAGCTAGCTTCTCACCAAAAAAGAGATGGTGTGCATGGCCCATGCAAGGTGTTAGGTAACAAACAGGAACATGCACCATACACATATACAATTAATAAAGAAGATTCAATGTATCTGTTTGCATTTCTCAATATGATCAAAGACATCTCGTAATACGTTTTGAATACTCAAGAGTGAGTTGTGCAGGTGAGGTTAAAACTTGACCGCTTCTAAAATAGGTTAGGTTTGAAGGCAGCAACTGAAAATCAGTTTTTTTTCCTCCGACGGTTTCTGCAGCGCCCATCCTGATCACAAAATCTAGAGAAATATAAAGATCGTGTTTAGGAAAACGGAGTTTTGGCTCAATTTCTCATTGTAATGAAAATTAGAAAAGATTTGCACTCGAGGGATTCATCATGGTTCTGGTTTGAATTGAAGCGGAGGCAAAATACTTCAGGTACGGTTAGTCGGTGCTATCCGGCATTACTTGTCCTCTCTTAAAGAAAATCGTATAAGTTATCCTGGTAATTATAATACGTTTAATTTTTGTCTGTGTAAATTATTAGTCAATTTTTTTAATAGAGTAGTGGATATGATTTTACATTTTTTATTTGTTTTCAATTAATGGACCCTTTTATGTTGATTACTTTTTTATTCAGAGATACTCGAATGTGTTCTAGATCAATGGATATTAGTTCTTGAAGGTTGTGTGGTTTTTGGTATTGTTTAATGTTTAATGAAGCTCTACTTTTATAACAGTAATAGTCATGAATAAGGGGTGTTTAAAATGAATATTAAAGAAAGTGAATAAATATATTGGTTTCAGTTGATATTGTTATTTTGAATTTAACAAATATATCAAAAGTGTAGAATGAATTACAGAAACTGGCATTTGTTCAGTAGATTCCAGAAATTAAAAAGTATTAGTTTAGTTTAGTTTACTTCACACTTCACACTTGACATTGTTGTTTAGAATCATAGAAATAAGTAAACTCAATTTGTAATGAAAACAACTGGTTTTTCCAAACCTGTTTGTAATACAGATTGTCAAAAACTTCTTGGTATACAACATTTGTTGTTGTGGTGCATGTTTGGTCATTCTCATCCAAAATGAGTATCTTCAAACCTTTTCTTGAACGTACTCTTTTAGAGTTGGCCATGAGTGAAAACAGGTCGTGGAAGGAATAAGCCAACATGAGATAATGACTGACCTTGACTCTTATTGATGGTCATAGCAAAACATAATACCAAAGGGAATTGCCTTCTTTGGAACTTTATAGGCTGATTTGAATCAGATGGTATGAGATTCATTCTTGGGATGAATATTTTGTCTCCCCTTCTAATTCCAATCAAAATAATTTATTGTTAATCTAGTTCCATTGCATAAACCTCCCCTTTGATCGATGTTTACCGGAACACCAACTTTGAGTATTAATTTATGATTGGGAAGGCCAGAGCATTTGATATCATTCAAAAACTTAGTTGTAAACCACTCTCCTTCCAGTTCATAATTTTCATCAGAGTGGCATGTAGAGTCAGAACTAAGATACTCTATTCCTTGTCCAGGAATAAGAGATAACATATAATTGTTAATTTTCTCAACTGCTTCTAATGTTGGCGCCAATATAGACCTGTCCTCAAAAAATGGGAGTTTAGTGTAATTATTTAGTATATCTGGATAGGCAAAGCATACTAAACTTTCCATAGGACATTCAACATTATGGATCAATAGGTCTTGAGGAATGTGCACTTCTGATTTGCCGTATTTGGTTCTTACTCTAGGACCATCTCCTAAATGTAGTATCCACTTTGCGAATTCTACGTATATCATCTAAACTGTCATCTTGTATCACAGTTTTTAATCTCATGTTCTCGGTTAATTTTAAAATCTTACAAAACTGACATAGATTTGAAGAATTTATAACAGCTCCAACGATGTCGCCTCTGGATCCTTTAGGGACAACATGCAGAATATGCCTAAAATATCCTCCAAGAACGATGACCTTTCCTCCAAATGGTTGTTGTAAGCTATTTGGATTTTTTGATCTCATCATATCTCTTAGTGTTCTATCTGATAGCCATTATATTTACTTGTGTTTAACATAAGTATTTATAAGTATTTGTTGAATAAAAGAAGAGAAATCGGGCAAATACCTTCAGAATGAGAGCTAGAGCATAAAACATTTTGATGAAGAGCTTTTTGGACCAAGAGGATGACGTTCTGCCCATAATTTGAGTATAACATATTGTAGAGAACTCGAAATCACTCAATTCGAATTTCATGTGAATGTTAACTCAATAAGGTACAAATGTTATGATGATTTCACGGCTAGAATATGAAAGGATCAAAAATCAATCAACCAATAAAGTCAGAAGTTGCTGGTGGAATTTCAGGATGCATACCTCTCAATGTTGTATCCATATCTTTTGATTGGATGAATAAAATCACGTCATTCAAGTTTTGGTAGATAGAAGACTTCATTATCTACAACTTTGGTGAAGGAATCTTGTCCAAATTCATTGCGGATCAGCCCCAAAATCCTAGGACGAAACCGGCGCCGGAATTTCATCAAACCGGCGCCGGTTTGATTTAATTTGCTATTTTCCGGATTCGGCGAGAGCAAACCGGAGCCGGTCCACCTCTATAACCGATTCCGGTTATGATATTTTTCCGTATTTTCCCAGCGCCGAAAGAAGACCGGCGCCGGTCAGGCCTGAAACTGGTGCCGGTTAGGTCCGATTCTGCACAAAACAGGGAGACGTGCAACAATATTTTGATGGGAAATTCTCACCTCCTCATGATCTGATCAAATATATCTTCCATGCCTCATTGTTGGGCTCGAATAGACTAAAAGATACCAATCTATAGCCTATATAAAGCCCTCAATTCATCAAACAAGATGATCATTCCATCTTTGGAGCTTAAATTTCAGTTTTTATATTTTATTTTTGTATTATCTTGAAGAGTTGGAGAAGAAGCCATTTCTCTCCTCTACAATTGGTTCTAGGTATTTTTTCTTGTATGTTATTGTATTTCTTTATTCTTAGTTACACTTTTGTAATTAATATGAGCATTAGTAGCTAATTTCTTAGTTTAGGCTAGGGATGAACTTCTATGCCCACTAGATGTTTGATAAAAGTTCTAAACTAATAAATTGTGGTTTATGCTTTATATATTGATTATTTATGACTATGGTGTACAACATAGAAGTATGTTAAATTTAGTTTATACTTGCAATTAACGTTGAAGTCTAAACTATGAACATTAAAGGATGAACATATATAGTACCGAGAATAGAAATATATCCGGTCTTATATGATACGGGTGTGATGTCTTGATATTCAACGGGGTTTTCGGTAGATGAATGTAAGCCGTAACGGGACTTACACGTAACGAAAACCACGCTCTCGTTGCCTTAACCGGAGTTGAGAATATATTAGCGACATCGTATTCATAATTATTGGTAAAGAACTAATATTCAACCCTATTAAAGCATTTAAGTGATTCCCGAAGCCTTAGTTGTTGTTATTATAAATCTTAAACTCAAAATTAGTTAACGATTATCTTCTTGAACAAAAAGTGAAAAACCAAAAATATAAAACACAAATCAAAATCCCTGCACTTTACTCATTTCTTCATTCAAAGTTATCTACTCACAGACTAAATTAAACGTTTCCTTGTGGATTCGACCCGGTATTTTACCGGAATTTATTACTATATCGGCACTTGTACACTTGCAAGTTTAGCCCGGTCAAGTTTTTGGCGCCGTTGCCGGGGAAACGGTCTTGTTTAATAAAGTCCAAAGAAAAAGAAAAAAAATAACAATCACTTAAAAATCCTGAATTTATTTTACTCTTCACAACTTCACTTGATCTTGGAAAGGTTTATTTTTGTGTGTGTAGATATTCCTTTTGTGTTTGCATGCATTTGAGAAGTCAAGGTTCTAAATCTCTTAAACCACTTGATCTTGAAATAGAAAAAACTTACAAACACATTCGGAAGGAGCAAAAAGCCACAAAGATGATGCCCACACTAAATGAGAGGAAGAGACCTGTTGTTGCAACTTCCCCGTTTTGCATTGTACTAAGCGAGGAAGCGAGAGATTATGAACTAAAGCATAGCTACTTCAACGCTATGCCTCAGTTTCATGGGCATTCGAGGGAAAATCCACTGAACTTTATCACGGAGTTCTATGGATTTATTCAAGGGATTCCAAGGAATACGATCACCGAAGACGATCTCAAGCTCAAATGCTTCCCCTATACTTTCAAGGGGGCAACAAGAGGATGGTTCCTAGAGCAAACTCCAGCGAGCTACACAACATGGGAAAGTATTTACAATGCCTTCATGTCCAAATACTACACGCCCACCATGACTCAAGAGCTTAGACAACGCATTTTCAATTTCAAACAACAAAATGGTGAGCTCTTTCAAGACGCATGGCGGCGTTTCAAATCATTGTTAAGGGAATGTCCACACCACCGCATTCCCCTTGATCTTCAAATTGACACGTTCTACAATGGTTTGAATGCACATTGTCAAGCCATCGTAGACAACCGAGCCGAGGGCTACATTGGAATCAAGAATGAAACTCAAGCACTCTGAATCATTGAGTCTATTGCCTCAAATCCCCAACTTCAAGGAGGTGATTTCAAAGTGGTCGGGATCAATGAAATCTCGATCACAACGGAGATAAAAAAGGTTTGAAGAAATGGAATCAAAGTTTGAGCAAAAATTCCAAATGGTTCTACGAGCCGTATTGGGAGGAGTCAAGCAAGTAGCCAATGTGGAAAGCATATAAAACCCGGAAGGTGATTTATCTCAACATCTTGAAGAGGTAAATTATATGAACTCTTATGGGAATCGGGGAAACAACAATTTTTCTAATCAACAAAGGTGGAACCAAGGGAATAATTGGAAGCCACAAGCTAGTTCCTCACAACCTCAATCCGGAGCACCAAATTTTGGGCAATCCAAAGAAACCACCATGGAGGATATGATGCAATTCATGTCCAAGAGCATGTCAAGCATGAAGGCCCAAAATGAAGAAAACAATAATAGAGTGGAGGCATCCATTGGGAATCTCCACTCTCAATTCACCAAGTTGGATCTTTATTTTGAAGATCAAAATATGAAGCTCAACCAACGCATCGACACCATTGAGCAATACAACAAGGCATCCATCCGGAATCTTGAAGTTCAAATGGGGCAACTCGCCCAAAAAGTGAGTTCTAGAGAGCAAGGTAAATTCCCTACAACTACGGAGGTGAATCCGAGGGAGAGCGTCATGGCCATTACAACAAGAAGTGGGAGAAAAACGGAGGACCCTAAGATGCCGGAGAGAAGAAAGACAGTGGAGAAACAAGAAGTGGTTGCACATACACTGCTCCCATCTATCATGGCTCAATATGTTCCTCCCATTCCCTATCCACAAAAATTGAAAAAGAAAGGAGATGACAAGAAGTACAAGAAATTTCTTGATATTTTCATGAAATTGAGCATCAACATACCTTTTGCGGAGGCCATTGCGGAGATTCCATCATATGCAAAATTTCTTAAAGGTATCATCTCCAACAAAAAGAGGTTAGAGGAATTCAAAACCATGGCACTAACGGAGGAATGTAGTGCCATTATTCAAAACAAACTTCCTCCAAAACTAAAAGACCCCGGAAGCTTCACTATTCCATGCTCTATTGGAAACGTCGGGGAGGTAAGGTCTCTTTGTGACCTTGGTGCTAGCATAAATCTTATGCCCTACTCTCTATTTAAAAAAGCTAAGTGTGGGGGAACTCCAACCAACAATGGTCGCCTTACAATTAACGGATAGAACAATCCGTTATCCAATAGGCATCATGGAGGATGTTCTTGTCAAAGTTGGAAAATTCTACTTCCTGGTAGATTTTCTTGTTTTGGACATGGAAGAGATGGAGATCCCCGTCATCCTTGGGAGATCATTTTTGGCTCCTCAACAGCCGTCATTGATGTACAAGCGGGCACGGTAAAGCTAAGAGTGGGAGGAGATGATGAAACATTCCATGTATGGAAGACACAATCCACTCCAACTCAAAACATGAACAACAACACAAACCGTTTCACACCTCCCAAGGTCATAAACATCATGGACATCAAGAAGGCACGCATATTTGGGCCTGAGGATCCTCCAACACACCCCGAAGACGTACTCGAGATCACACCAACGAACAACGAAGTTCTTCCGAAACTCTACCCGATGAAAGGAGGCACAATGATCAAATTCTACCGGAGAAAAGCTTCACATCCACCTCCTTAAGAGAGGTACGTTCATCGGGCCTATGACGTTAAACTAAGCGCTAATTGGGAGGCAATCCAACACAAAAAAATCAATTATAAATAAATATGTTAGTTATACACATAATCATTTTTATTTATAATTGAACAAGAATCAATTATGAATAATAATGCTTATTTAAAATAACATATTCGTATTTATTTATAATTGGCGAAAAAATAAAAAAAAAGAATAAAAAAAATCATCATCTCAGCTTATCATGGGAATTCCTACTCTGAAGAACACCTCGTTCCACTATCGAGGATTTCATCTTTCATTACATTCTCCAACCTACATTGAGGATAATGTATCTCAAGTGTGGGGGTGCATCTCATGGTTAGTTAAACAAATTTTGTGTACAAAATAAGTTTTTTTAGGAAGATAAAAGTTGTGATAATCCTCTTTTTAATGGGTATTTGGTTGAGAAAGTTTTGATTATTCACAAAAAAACTAGGGAAAGTTCCCGAAATAGGACTAAAACAGTTTCAAAATAGGACTGTCATGTTTTTATTCCCAAAATAGGACTAATTACTATCATGTTTAGAAAATACTGCCATGTTTGAAGTCTGGTACTGCCAAAACATGGCAGTAATTAATCCTATTTTGGGAATAAAAACATGTCAATCCTATTTTTGGAATTTTCAAACTGTTTTAGTTCTATTTTGGGTAATGTCTCAAAAAACTATCATTTTTTAGATTTATTACATTACTCTTTACTCTTGAAAATCATTCCCAAAATAAATCTTGTGACTAGGAAACACCATCTTCCTCCATTTCCAAAAATGGTTTAAGAACATCTTAAATATTGAAGAACCATTTTGGAAAACATGCCACCCACATATCTCATCAAATAAATTGGGATGATCAAAATGACTTTCAGTAAATGCTTGTTGAGAACCAATTCAAATGAGTATTAAAAAAACTCATGTTCTCTTTCAAGAATTTCAACTGATCCACTTCTATACTGAAAAGTCAAACACACCTAAAAGCCATCCTACTCACCCAAAAAGTCCTAGTCACAATCCACTCATCTACTCTCAAGGGTATAAGTAATTTTTCTAAATCTAATGATAGTTTTGTGTGTCTAACAGAAATTTGGTTTTGGACCGAGAATGATAAAAGAGTTTACATAATTTTTTTACCTCTTAAAATTAAAATTATTTTTGTTCATATATTTTTCTTGAAACTAACCAAGGCATCCAAAGGTGATAAAATTGCTCGAGGACTAGCAACGCTCAAGTGTGGGGGGATTTGATAGCCGTTATATTTACTTGTGTTTAACATAAGTATTTATAAGTATTTGTTAAAGAAAAGAAGAGAAACCGGTCAAATACCTTCAGAATGAGAGCTAGAGCATAAAACATTGTGATGAAGAGCTTTTTGGACCAAGAGGATGACGTTCTGCCCATAATTCGAGTATAACTTATTGTAGAGAACTTGAAATCACTCGATTCGAATTTCATGTAAATTTTAACTCAATAAGGTACAAATGTAATGAAGACGTCACGGCCAGAATATGAAAGGATCAAGATTCAATCAACCAATAAAGTCAGAAGTTGCTGGTGGAATTTCAGGATGCATACCTCTCAATGTTTTATTCATATTTTTTGATTGGATGAATAAAATCATGTCATTCAAGTTTTGATGGATAGAAGACTTCATTATCTACAACATTGGTGAAGGAATCATTTCCAAACTCGTAGCGGAACATCCCCAAAATCCCAGGACAAAACCGGCGCCATAATTTCACCAAACCGGCGCCAGTTTGATTTAATTTGCTATTTTCCGGATTCGCCGAGAACAAACCGGCGCCGGTCCACCTCTATAACCGGCGCCGGTTATGGCATTTTTCCGTATTTTCCCAGCGCCGAAAGAAGACCGGCGCCGGTCAGGCCTGAAACCGGCGCCGGTTAGGTCCGATTATGCACAAAACAGGGAGACGTGCAACAATATTTTGATGGGAAATTCTCACCTTCCTCATGATTTGATCAAATATATCTTCCATGCCTAATTTTTGGGCTCGAATAGACTAAAAGATGCCAATATATAGCCTTTATAAAGCCCTCAATCCATCAAACAAGATGATCATTCCATCTTTGGAGCTTAAATTTCAGTTTTTATATTTTATTTTTGTTTTATCTTGAAGAGTTGGAGAAGAAGCCATTTCTCTCCTCTACAATTGGTTCTAGGTATTTTCTTGTATGTTATTGTATTTCTTTATTCTAAGTTACACTTTTTTAATTAATATGAGCATTAGTAGCTAATTTCTTAGCTAAGGCTAGGGATGAACTTCTATGCTCACTAGGTGTTTGATAAAAGTTCTAAACCAATAAATTGTGGTTTATCCTTTATATATTGATTGTTTATGACTATGGTGTACAACATAGATGTATGTTAAATTTAGTTTATTCTTGCAATTAACGTTGAAGTCTAAACTATGAACATTAAAGGATAAACATATATAGTACCGAGAATAGAAATATATATCTGGTCTTATATGATACGGGTGTGATGTCTTGATATTCAACGGGGTTTTCTGTAGATGAATGTAAGCGGTAACGGGACTTACACGTAATGAAAACCACGCTCTCGCTGCCTTAACCGGAGTTGAGAATATATTAGCGACATCGTATTCATAATTATTGGCAAAGAATTAATATTCAACCCTATTAAAGCATTTAAGTGATTCCCGAAGCCTTAGTTGTTGTTATTATTCATCTTAAACTCAAAATTAGTTAACGATTATCTTTTTGAACAAAAAGTGAAAAACCAAAAATATAAAACACAAATCAAAATCCCTGCACTTTACTCATTTCTTCATTCAAAGTTATCTACTCACGGACTAAATTAAACAATGTTTCCTTGTGGATTCGACCCGGTATTTTACCGGAAGTTATTACTATATCGCCACTTGTACATTTGCAAGTTTAGCCCGATCACTATCCAAAGCCCCTGCCATTGCTGCTGAATTTTTGAAGCTTGAATTTTTGATCCCTTGAATCACAAAAGTAAAGAAGAAGTAATCAGAAATGAGATTAACAATACGAAGAAATTGAGAAAAAAACCAAAATTTATAGTAAAATGAAATATATTTACTGATTCATCCATGAGAACCATCTCTAAAGTAAATGAAATCTTTGAAGTAGTACTCATAACTTTCCAGAGCCTTATTATCTGGACTTTAATGTTCAAATCTTCCGTTTTAGGGCTTATAACAGATAAGGAGCTGTACACAACATCAACCATTGGAGTGGTTATATCAGTTGGGTGGAGAAAAGAGAAGACAATGATTTAAGTAATAATAGTTGTGATTTTTGTTAGTATTATACGGTTCGTGAATAATACAATAATACGTACGTTCGTGTATAATACGATACAATTATATAAAATACGATTAAATATATGTTTCATACGTTCGTGAAATGAATAAAGATACGAACGTGTTTTAAATGTTTTACAATTTAAAAATACGGCATATAATACATGTCTTATATATTAATTTAATGATGAGAATAAAGAGTGATTTAGCATATGCATTACATTCTTCAACAGTTTAAAATGTACGGAATAGTTTTTCAGATATACGAATTTTAATTCATAGGTACATTAAATAATAAAAATGATATTGCCTATTTGTGTAGAAGTAGAGACATATTTCTAAAGAATAGTTTATATTATTGTGACCGTAAATTTGGTGAACCGCCATAATATTCTTTTCATTTTGGAGTTTTGGTATGAGTGGAGAATAAGAGTAACAAAATAATAGTACAATAGTAATATAAAAACGAATTATGACTTTAAGAAGCTAATTTCTTAAATCTGATGATGACTATTAAACAATTAACGAACGTATAAGACATAATAATTTTTTAAGCATTATAAATAGTATTGAGCAGCTAAACATTTCACTTCATTTGTACCACTCCATTAGGCTTCAGTTTAATGGTATTTTTTAATAAAATACGTATCAATACGTACGGTACGTGTATTATACATTTTATCCTTAAAGTACGTGAATTTTTAAGTATTTTCTGAAAAATTCATAAACGGGAGTATTATACGTGAATTATATGTTTGAGTGTATTATACGTGAATTATACGCGAATAAACTAATAGAGCTTGTGATTGTACTCGTATAAGGCAAATGACATAAGACAATTTAGCAGGTGAATAGTTTTGTTTCAAGTTTTTGAATGCTTTTAATGCTGGGACGTTATCTATATGTGGTATGGGTGTAGTGGTGTATCCTTTGATGTTCATTGAGTAAATGCTCAGTTTTGGTTTCTGATTTTTAAATGCTTTTAATGTTGTAATAAATATTTTGGAGATACTTTATAAATATCTCAAAGGGGGAACCGTAGAGGCCATGTTGTACGTGTGATGCCATGTTGTGCAGATGTTATATGGAATGTGAGTGACTCATTTGTTCTCCATAGGGATCTGCCACATGTCAATTTCCCTTACAAAGACTCCTGCCACATGTCAAATTCCTGTAAAGGGGTGTGCTAAAGGACTCCTTTATTATATTATACAGATGCCGACCAATTATTCGATGAAATGTTAAAATGGTAATGATGTTAATGTACCGATTGTTACCGCTACTGCTACCGATTGTTATCACTACAAACCTTTGCTTTTGATTTTCTAAGGTAGTAAGGCCAAATCGTAACTCTCCTTCATATGCTACTAGCGAAACATTAATTAATGTACTTTATAAGTGTTTTTGGCAAATATTATGATTTCCTTGGTAGCACTTGGAACTCTTCACGTGGAAATATTTGTGACAGGTTAAGATAGTTAAGTGAATAGATAACAAATTAATGCTCACTTCATGTAGCTTAGTTTTAGATAAAGTGTAAAAAACTTTGAATCGTGAAGATGCCTAGAAGATGAGAGCAAACAATCAAGTAGAGACAAAACTTCTATATGAGCCAATTAGAAGAAAATTGGTATTAGGATACATGTAAAATTTACTACTTTTAAAGTATCATAGTGATCTGGTTTTGCTAGCACCAGAAGAGAAGGCTGCCAAAATGAGCATAAGTTTATACTAAAATGACATACATCATTATTTAAAGATACAATAACAAAAAATAAACTGATTTTTACTTGGTAAATCATTTTATTAGTGAGATGTATTCACTATGAAGCTCTGCTTTTATTTTTAGAGCATTAAGCTATAAGTTATGATTTTTTATTTAGAAGTTATTTTCTTAATTCTATTAGTGTGTCTTTGTGTTTCGGAACTCCCCATTCCAATCGTCAAATATGATTACAGGTTGTGAAATACATTTTTAGTTTATGGGTTCTCTTTATATTTCCTTAGAACTTATAAGGTTAGTATATTGTTGTTGGTGCTGATTGTAGCCTTGGTAATGTCATACTTCTTTATAACTTATAACTTATTGCTTTAAAGTTACGCTCATGGTTATATTAGTATATGGTCATGTGTTTTTAAACTTCTAAATTGACAAAATAACACATGGTAGAATTAAATCAATTTTTTTTTTCACATATAACTTTTTACGTAAGATAATTTGAATATAGGATAGGCTACAATGGAAGAAGGTCTTTCGAAGTTATTGGACTAAGTATTACAAATTTCTTGTTAGAAGTTACGAATTTCATATAAGAAGTTATGAATCAGGCTCTATTAGTGTATTGTGATACTAAAAGGTTTAGTTTTTCTATGTAGCCGAACAAACATTAAGAGATCAACATGCTTTTCTTGATGTTAATGATTTTGAGATTTTCAGCTTAAGTGAAATACAAGTTATTTCGTTAGTCTTAGAAGTTTGTATTCGTGTTCTATTAGTGTATTGATATTACTTCTATTATAAAACAGAAATATTGTGAATTTAAGGAATTTCTTTTATTAACTCATTATTGTATGATAAGTTCCTTACTGATTTTGATGTCTTTCGCAAATGTCAACTTAAAGTTATGTATTTAGTTTTAGAAGTTATTATTTTGGATCTGTTAGTTATAAACATATGTTTATTCATTTTTATTGCAAAAGATCGAAGAAAATATTGAGACACTAAATGAAGATGACAATGGTGCTGAAAATGAAGTTATTCCAGAAGTTGATCGACGGTGTTGTACACAAGTTAACACTCAACACTAAAAAGAAGAAATTGACAAGGACAACACCATTGAAGCTAAGAAGAAAAGGTGAAACATATCATATATGATAAAGACCATTATGTGAAGAAGCAACAATTTTGTTAATTGTATTTTTGTTGCAAATAGATTTGAATGAAATTCCCTTAAATTTTTAAAACAAAGCATCCTTTTAGGTTGTATTAGGAAGTAATATGTAACAATTTTAATAGCCGAAACACTACAACAATACTCATAGATCTCATATTACTTTGCCTAAAGTTAGGTTGGTTCTCAGTTTTTCTATCGTTGTTTGTATATCAGTATTGCACATTAATGCTCAATTAAATGTTGGATTTTCTACATCTACAACTTTCAAATCTAACTCCCTCCTGCTGTTCTTTTTTATTTAATTCCTATTTACTCTCATAACACATGTAATTATGAAAACATGACGCAAATAAAACAATATTTTAAATGACATACATCCACCCATAAACTAAATTGCATTTCTAAGTGGAAAACTCATCTTTCTTTTCAATCCCAAATGCTTCAATAAATAGCAACGTATAAACGAAATAATATAACTTCTAACAAGTAATATAAAACTTTTAATAAAAAAGTTCAAACCACAAACAATCAGCGTCAATAACACACTACTTTAACTTCACCATTGTCTTGCTTTTTCAAGATTTTCTATAAACAAGAATCAATAACTTTCACCTTAAGCATACAAAAAAATTAGAGCATGATATGCAGTGGAGTTGACTAGTATCTATTACAAGAGTATACACTTTGAAGTCGTTAGCGTTCATAAAAATTTACAGAATTTACAAAAGAGGGTAACATTCAATACACTACACTAGAGCAATAACTCTTGAGCCTTGTTATTCACATTTTTTTTGAGAAATAAAAACACGGGAGAAAGAGATACTAGAAAACTCGAGCTAATCTCTTTAATATCTTCAGCAAACAATCCTATCGAGGAGCAAATGGGTTTGTTTTTAATCTCTGAAATTGCTAATAGAATTTCAATTCAATGCCAACTGATAGCTTCTCTAATGCAAAGAAGCTCAGCCCGTGAAGGGGATATATATCCCATCCTTGGCAGTGATGCACCTGCCATGAATTTCTCGTGCTCATATCTCATAATCCAGCCAAGACCACACTTGTGATGCCTAAAGAAAGCATCCACGTTCATCTTTACTTGTCCCAGGTTCAGCCGCCTCCAACAAGAAGTGGGCAGCTGCTTTGAAGCTCTTTGTTTGTCTGCACCTTGTTGTACTTGAACCCAACAATTCACGAAGGCAACAACCTCTTGCATAAATAGCCCCACACCCATGCTCAACCAGTCAACCCATTCCAAACTAATGACTAATCTATTCATTTCGCACCATAACCTCCAACACGCCCAGGCCAACTTACTGAACTCTACCCCTTTCTTCATGGTCAAAACCATAAATCATAAAAGTAGAATTATCACCGATAAGATACAACAATCTTTTAGTACACAATGATCTCAATCCTTGTATAGCAAAAAATATGGAAAACAACTAAAGCACCCCTAGAACCATTCAATTTGAAGGATCTTGCTTTGACTTCTTAAATCAATTGTATTTTAAACAATTGAAAAATTTTAATCAATAAACTTCTCTCACCATCGTCGACCGTCATTATATTGTAGCTATAACTCCTCGATGGTTGTCCATGACCGGATGAGAGTTCACTTTTGGAAAATTCTGAAATACAGTCTTCTTTGTAGTGATCGAGATAGAATAGCAAGGCACAAAAACACAAAGAAAAAATTGTGCAATCTCAAAGGAGTTGCAGAGATCAAAATTTTAACAGAGAAATTGATGATTAAAGAGTGATGGAGGAACATGCACAAAGAGAATGAGGAACGAAGAACTTAGGTTTGTAAGGATATAAGATAAAATACGATAAGAGGTTTAAAGTTGGTTAAAATAACAAAAATGCCATTAATGAAGAAGTGGAGTTTTAACAAATCGTGCGTCCGCCAGGTGTGCGGAAATCCAATGGTGAAAAAGACTTCGTATTTTTCAGTCCAAAGCAGGCTTCTCATAAGATCTTTTTTCTCGGGAATGAATCAGGTGAGAAGACCTGGAAAGTGAGAAGCATTAGATATCGTCCAATTAAAGTAGATCAAATGCTCAATTTAAAATGGAGAAAGCAAGATAGCAAATCTCTGTTCGTGCAATAGAGATCTCATCCCCGTTTGAAAATTAATCCCGAATGAAAAAGCAGCCGCCACACCTCCATCCCTTACTCCCACCGAGGACTTCCACGAATGAAAAAGGGCGCTTTCTTCGTTGAAAATGTCTAGATTGAAGTATGTGACTTCCGTTGAACTCGTCGGATCAAATTAAGTCTATGGCTCCACTTTACCATAAGTAATTATATCCCTTTACCGAACTCAAACACCTTCTCCTCACGTTCATTCTCTCATATCGTCTCCCGCTGATCAACTTCAAAAAGGAGATTTTAATCACTGAAATGCTATCAGCAAAGATTAGAAACAAGTTCGGTTTCTAATCTGCAATGTAAGTTGTATTTCATAGTTTTCAACTTTTGCTAAAATTTGCTTCTAACAAACCCGGTGAAGCTGAAATTGATTCAGCTTTTGCAACTTTTGCTTAAATGGGGTTTCTAATCTGCAATGTAAGTTGTATTTCATAGTTTTCAACTTTTGCTAAAATTTGCTTCTAACAAACCCGGTGAAGCTGAAATTGATTCAACTATTTTTTAATTTTAGATCTAGTCTTTTTTCAAATGGTTCAAGTCAATATTTATTTTGCAACTTTAAAACTTAATAATCCCAAAGTTTAGCAAAATTGCGATGGTGCATTTTTTCAAAAACTGGATTTTTTTTCTAGTTTTTGTTTATTCTCTAAAAATTTCTTCAATTTTTGGCTTTGATTATCTATAACTTTATATAACTAGTTATACTAAAAAACCTGCCATTCTTATTTATTAACACTACTAGTGTTTCTGACGTTCTAAATAATCTCATACACAGTCTCTGTTTATTCATGTTCAAAAACAACAAACCATTGAAACACATAACTTGAACTCGATATACTTTCTCCCCGGTTTGCCAATTATTTTTTGAAAATAGATAATGAGTTCAAGTTATGTCTAATAATGGTTTGCTGTTTTTGAACTTAAGTTATGCCCACCAACTATTTGATGAAATGTTATAATGGTAATGGTGTTAATGTACCTCAATTTAAGTTATAAGTTATGATTTATTAGTTACAAGTTATTTTTATGGTTCTATTAGTATATGACTAATGTGTATTGATACTTTCCAATGTGTATTCCGTTAATTATTTATGGCTGAAATGAAGAACGTATATGCCTTTATATTTACTCATTAGGTTAGAATAAGATTTCAACTATTTCCACTTTTAGAAAATTCAAACATATTGGGTTTTGATATTGTGTACTGCTCTTTTGTTGTGGAATCATAATGTGTACCTAGTTCTCATGAAATTTTAGTTCAAAGTATAAAAATACTACTAATATTAATATAAATTGCTGAGATCAATTCTTCGTTTGAAGTCATTTCATTTAGTTATAATTTTATCCTCAATTTATATTTATATCGTAAGCTCTTAGGCTGCAGAGGTTTTAGAAGTTTTAGTAAAAGTCGTGTTTTTGATTTAAAAGTTATTTATTTTTTTTACAAAAGTATAAGATCTTAAATTTTAGAGATCTTACCATTTTTAGTAAAAATTATCCCTTCTGATTTAAAAGTTATGTTTTTTATTACAAGTTATAGTCATCCTTAATATGCACTTACATAAAAAAAACGTAAACTCTTATGCCTTAGAGGTCTTGGGAGCTTTAGTAAAAGTTAAGCCTTTTGATTTTAAAGTTATGTTTTTTGGTTTACAAGTTTTAGTAATTTTAGTAAAAGTGATGTTTTTTTAAACTTCTCTACAACGTTGAGATCACTTCTTCGGTCCAAGTCCTTTCATTTAGTTGTATTTTATCCTCAATTTGCATTTATATGTTAAGCTCTTAACATTTATATCCTCAATTGTGGAGGTTTTAGAAGTTTTAGTAAAAGTTGTGTGTTTTGATTTACCAGTTAGGTTTTCTTAATTACAGGTTAACGTAATATTGAATTTGCATTTTTATAAAAATTATAGGATCTTAAAGTTTATAGGTCTTAGCATTTTTAGTAATAGTTATCCCTTATTATTTAAAAGTTATGCTTTTTGATCTACAAGTTATAGTCATCCTTTCCTTAATAAATCATACACATAAGAAAATGGAAGGTTCTAAGCTTTGGAGGTCTTGGAAGTTTTAGTAAAAGTTAAACCTTTGGGTTTTAGTAAAACTGTAAAAGTAATATTTAATTTACGTTTTTATAAAAAAATATAAGATCTTAAAGTTTATAAGTCTTAGTTTTTTTAGTAATAGTTATACCTTCTGATTTAAAAGTTATGTTTTTTATTTATAAGTTATATTCATCCAATCATCCTTCATATACACTTGCATGAGAAAATGCAAGCTCTTAAACATTAATGACACATAACATAACTCACAATATGCATAAAGTTATGAATTATTGTTAAAGTTTACTAGCTCAACTGGTAGAGCATCGTGCAAATGCATGAAGATGTGGGTTCAATTCCCATGTAGACTAAACAAAACCAATAATTGATATATATCAAGATGTGGGTCAAGGCCCTAATGCCAATGCAGAATAATGCAGCTCCAGATTTCATTTGTTGTCGTTTTTAATCTCAGGATCGAGCAAGTGGAAGAAAACTTCAAGACATTATTCTCTCACACTACTTGTAGAAAAATATCTCTATGTGAAAACTTTTACTTACTAACCAGGTCTTCCAAAGCACTTGCATAGTCGCTTGCCCAAGGATTAATTGAATTAAAGCACACATATTAATTGAAACAAGATGTTGAAAACATCACACTATACAGAACACTAGTGAAAGCCTGGTAGGGATGTCATTTGCAGGGATCATACATGGGTAGACTTGCTGCTATTTCTTCTATTTGTATCAGGTTTCAAACTCATTTTCTGCATTTTTGAAGGTTGTTTACCGTGTTTGTTAGTGTAAATGTGTAATACTGCTATCTCATCGAGTATCAAATATATACAGATCCTTTGGTGTTTCTCTTATTGATTCACACAGTAATTTCTTGAGTAAACTTTAGCTGCCGAGGAATGGTTCTTGACAAGAGGAAGAATACATATTATTTTTTATTAATTGCAGTTGCATAAAGAGTGGATAGCTAGTATTTGGCAAAAAATTAGGACATAAATTAATACTACCAAGCAAACATACAAGAGACAAAAAATGTAAATTTCCGGGGGCTGTTTACATCTTTTTTGAAGAATGGTCACAGTTACATCTCATGGCTATTCTTTAAAATTTCATATCTTGCTCAATGTTTTTCCTGCAGCAAAGATTAACAGCTAAAAATGTTTTCCATATCTCTCTATGTAGATTACTTGCCATGGGACGCCTAAAAACGATGTGGTCATGGCTCTTTAGTGTATTTGCTATACTTTCCTTCGGTTTCTTTGCTTCTAGTTCCCTCAAAAGCAGGTTCCCGTCTGTTCCTGCATATCAAATACTACTAAAAAACACCATTACTAAAAAATTAAGAAGTTAACTGCTAGGTAGTATCTGATGAACAAATTATGAGTGTTGTACAACAATAGCAGGCAAAAAGCCAACGTGAAACGAGACTCCACTTTTGACACTTAGGTTTCTTAATGAGAGAAATTCAGCAGTGAAAAAATAAAAGGTTAAATCTATTCAGAAAAAGAGAATGCTCTCCCAGATCGACCACGGATCAGAAGCTCCCCAATTTGAATTGGATTCTCTGCAGCAGAAAACATTATAGCTTGATTATCAGTTTTAATGGAGTTAAAATCAACACCCTGCAATTGCTAGTCCAATTTGACCCTTTATTGAAAGAATTCACTATATCAAAATGTAAAATCATACCAACACATTATATTTAATATTATCTAACTTTTAGAGTAAGAAGCTTAACTTGTATTCTAAAATTCATAACCTTTGTGCATAAATCTCAAACTTCACATTTTGTAGAAGAAGAAAAAAACCAAAGATTGCAAGACAAAACACGATATCCCAAATTTGTAACTCACAAAAGTAAAATGAGGGCAACCAAATATTGAACTACTCTTTCAACAATATATATTATAATACCAGTATAAACCAAATAACAAAGACTCGGTTATATGCTCTACCAAACAATAGGCACACATGAGCTTCTGGGCGCCAACATTACTGAAGTCTTAACCAAAACAAATTCAATGATGCTCTTCAAACTGTTTGAAATGGGGAAAAAATATACTACGTATTACTATCACTACCAAACTACAAACTATTGATATGATTTTTCATTGAAACATTTCAACAAACACTTTATACATATAAATATATTAAAGGGAGAAGGCTCAAAAAGGACATCAAGGTTACCCAAGAAGTTCACATTGGACATTGAGGTTCTAAATGGACCAAATAAACACATAAGACACTTATTTGAGTAACTTTTGGCCACCCATCAGCATTTCAATTTAACGGTGCTTTCACCAACGTTAACCATACGTCTCCCCTTCTCCCATCATCATCTTTCTCTACTACTCTCTATCATTCAACATAAGTGAGTAATTTATTATTCTATCGTATATCTCCTATAGAAAAGAAAACATATTGGAATTGGGCTCTTATCTACTTGAATGTAGGTGATCGATTTTTGGTGATTGGGATTCTGGTGATTTGAACCCCTTCACGCCCAAGACTATTCTGATTCGCTATTGGACGACGGTAAAACCTGATGAGTTGTCCAAGCCATGGTTTTTGCTCATCAATTAGTCGTCATTGAGAACCTCTGTCCTCTGAGCTGGCAGCTAATCGGAAGTTGCTGGCTGCTCAGTTACTTGGCTTTAGCTCCTCCACTAATCTATTCAGCTTCCCCGATTTGAATATAAGCTTCAACAAGCACATCAATGACTTTGAGTTCGCCATTTATGCTAAGAGGACCTTCACCAATTTCAAGATGAATCTGGGCGGAGGACGGGACTTTTCATTAATCACTCAGAGAATGAAAGTATCTGATTGATCCATTCTACCGGAGCAGCCGCATCTCTGTTGGACAGAGAAGAAGTTTTCCAGTTATACCATGGTCGGCAACATAAGTGACTAGAGCTCGCTTCAATACCTACGATAATAGATCCACAGGTGCTTTTGACCTACCACAGACTTTGGTTCATATTCCGAATCCGACGACAATGGCCGGCAGGCCGGGAGCAGGGATTAGATTCATAATCCAGCAATGGATTCAAATGCTATGGGAGTGGTTTCTTGGGTATCGTATAAAGGGTTGTTGAACATGGAAATTCCTTGTAGAGGATGGTTAAACGGAAATTCTTGTGAGTGGCCAAAGGTTGCTCAAATAAGTTGTTTATGTATTAAATTGTTCCATTTAGAAGCTTAGTGTCCAATCTGAACTTTGTGAATAACCTTAATGTTGTTTTTGAGCCTTCTCCCTATATTAAATGCTACGGCAAATCGGAACTTGAAATAACTTCCTACTGACAGTGCTAATTTAATTAATAGTAGATATCCAAGGAATCAAAATAAAAGCACAAACCGTTAGACAATTGAAGTTGGTCCAAGCTGGGGGAGTTGAAGAAGGGTAAGAGGGGACCACGAATGTTGCAACCGACAGCAGAGAAAGAGATGAGTTGTGAAAATTTGTCAAACCTTAAGGGATCTTCCATGCTTTCGGAAGATTATTTTTGTCTAGGCTAACTGAAAGGAGGCCACTCAGGCTAGGCTTGGAGTTGAACAGGATTGGCGCGATTGAAGTGAACCGGTTGGCGGAAACGAGCCTTTGAGGGTTTTGGAGGTGGCTTCGAAGAAGGTTAGCATGACGAGCAGACGAGGCTTCCGAGAGTGGCGGGCAGAGTGCCATTGCTAACCAAACCCCCAATTGCGATCTTTGAAACCCATTGCTAACCAAACCCCCAATTGCGATCTTTGAAACCCTGCGGTTGTCGTCATAGCTCACACCCACCCAATCACACGGACTGGACGACTCATTCGAGAACGCCACACTTTTTCTCATCTCCTCCAATACACCGTGCTCTTCACTGTCGATCAAATTCCCCGCCCTAACTGTACAACAGGCGACATCGGTCGCTGCAAACAAAAGGAAGATGCAAGTTGCTGCTGTTGGAAGACGCCATAATTATTCTTGATTCAAATATAACTACTATTGCTACTTAATTGTGATGTGATTGATCGATCCGAAGAGAACCATGGAAAATAATGAGGAAAGAGCTCAGGATACAGAGAGGAGAAACAAAAAATAGAACAGAGAAACAAGTACAGTAAGTCCGTTGGCATGAATTTTTGGTCAATTAATAAAAAGACTTAAATTTCAAATATTTACCAAATTTGCCTGTTTTAAACAAATCCTACCGGAACTCTTCATGGGATCTTCTATCTATATATGTTTCAAAAGTTCATGTCATGTCATGTGCAGCCAGCCTGACGGGAAGTGTCGTCCGATCATCACCGTTTAGGGCATTTTCCAGTTGAATTGTTTGATGGAAATTTTCGAGCATGTTTTTCATCAATTCTAGTTTATGCCTACCAAATTTAAGCTAAAGATTCCATTGGGAACGCAATCAAATAAGTTTTTGGAAAATACTACATTATTTATATATATTTAATTGTGCAGTGTTCTTAAATAATTTATTTGACTTTCCCAATTGAACTTTTAGCTGAAATTTGGTGGGCATAAACTAGACTTGATGAAGAACATGCTCAAAAAATTCCACCGGGAAGAGCCCCAATGCCCTAGGCCGGACGGTGGTTCCTGTCAGGCCGGCTGAACAGGAATAGGACTCTCTCTCACACTCACACACACTCTCTCTCTCTATATATATATATGTGTGTGTGTGTGTAGAGAGAGAGAGAGATGCTCATGTCCAGCATTCAGACAGGAGCCACCGTTTGGGGCGGTTCCTGGTGGAATTTTTTGATGAAAGTTTTTGAGCATGTTCCTCATCAAGTCTAGTTTATCCACAAAAAAGATTAACTCACATTTCGATCGGGAAGACAGTCAAGTAATTTTTTGAAGTTGACTGTGCCAAATTATACATAGAAAACATAGTCGACTTCAAAATATTATTTGGCTGCCTTTCGGATCTAATTTTGAGCTGAAATGTTTTGTGGATAAACTAGATTTGATGAGGAACATTCTCAAAAAATGTCATCAAACAATTCCACCGGGAACTGCCCCAAACGGCGGCGTTCGGATGGAGGCTCCTGTCTGAATGGCTGGATAGGAGCATTTCTCTCTCTCTCTCTCTCTCTCTCTATATATATATATATATATATGTGTGTGTGTGTGTGTGTGTGTGTGTGTATATGAGAATGAAATGTTTATTATATGAAAATGTAATGTGTATTGGGTGAAATTGGAATGTGCAACACAAAGAGTAAGATACAGTGACATTATGTGAAGTTGAATTGTGCATTAGGTGAAATTGAAATGTGCACTAGGTGAAACTGAAATGTGCAGAATAAAAAGTACAATGTGATGTTATTTTTGTACCTTTTATTCCGCATATTTCGGTTTCACATAATGAACACTTGAGTTCACACACACACACACACACACACACACACACATATATATATATATGTGTGTGTGTGTGTGTGTGTGTGTGTGTGTGTGTATATATATGTATATATATATGTATATATATGTATATATATATATATGTGTGTATATATATATATACATATATATATATACATATACATATATATATATATATATAGATAAGAGATCAAATACAAATCATGCTTAAAATACTAACCTACAAACTCAATAATATGCAACACTTTGAACTTCAATATGCAGTACAAATAATGTAAAGATGCACTCAGTGAACTTCAATATGCAACAAAAATAATATGCAACACTTTAAACTTCGATATGCAGTACAAATAATGTGTAACACTTTGACCTATAATATGCAGTACAAATAATGTAAAGATGCACAATTTGTGACAGTTTGTAGGTAAGCATGGGGGACTAGTTTGTATGTGATCCCACCCCTATATATAGGGAGCGGTTCCGGTAAGAACGGACTCCCATGAGAGAAATGAGAACGAATCTGGACCGTTGGATTGTATTGTGTGGGTCTGGATTGTGCATTTGGTGAAACTGAAATGTGCATCAGATGATATTGAAATGTGCAGAATAAAAATTTAAACTCAAGTGTGCATTAGGTGAAACTGAAATGTGCGAAATAAAAGGTACAAAAATAACATCACATCGTACCTTTTATTTCAGCACATTTCAGTTTCACCTAGAACACATTTCAATTTCACCTAATGCACAATTCAGCTTCACATAATGTCACTGTATCGTACCATTTGTGTTGCACATTTCAATTTCATCTAATTCACATTAGAGTTTCATCTAATGCACATTGAGTTTCACTTAAAGCAAATCTAACGGTCCAGATTCATTCTCATTTCTCTCCTAAGATCATGTTCACATTTGAGTTTAAATTTTTATTCTGCACATTTCAATATAATCTAATTCACAGTTCAATTTCACCAAATGCACAATTAATTCAGTTCCACATGATATAATCCAACGGTCCAGATTCATTTTCATTTCTCTCCTGAGAGCCTGTTCTTACCGTTGAAGTTAACTGCGCCAAATTATACATAGAAAAACGTAGTTAACTTCAACGAATTATTTGACTGCCTTCCAGATCGAATTTTGAGCTGAAATTTGGCATGGATGTTGGAAAAATGTGTTAAAAATTGCATTAAATGGTCATTATGGGGCAATTATTTGAGTGGGTCATTTTTCGATTTGGGACGGGTCAAAGTGGTTTCGGATTGTACTTGTTAAGGGCTGCAATTCGATATATGGTACGCTCAAAACGGATAACGGGTGAATGAGAAATTGATTCTCGAAGTTCACTCGTTGAAATGGAAAAACTGGGAAAATGATGGGTTTCTAGTGTGTTTTATACCACACCGGAAAGCTCAAGGGATTCTCACCCCCTTATAAAGGGAAGCCTCTTTTAAGGAGTTAAGATTCCTAAAGGTAAAGGCTCTCTCTTACGCGCAGGGGGGTGCCGATCAAATCCCGAAATGGAGAAGAATAACCGCGACTCGTGTGTGCGGGCGACCTGCGGACACGAATGTCGTCCGAAAATCTATCATTCAAAGATACAATTTAGTTTTGGTTTCTTCCAGTAACGTTCCTTTATTTTTTCCAAGCTGGCAAAATCGCTCTGTTTCTGTCCGGACCAGAAGAGGGTTCTGTTCTCAACAGAACTGCTCCGCTACAGAGATGCTTGAGGTCTTCTGTTCGCAACAGAGACCCTCGAGGTCTTCTGTTCGCAACAGAGACGCTCGAGGTCTTCTGTTCGCAACAGAGACGCTCGAGGTCTTCTGTTCGCAACAGAGACGCTCGAGGTCTTCTGTTCGCAACAGAGACGCTCGAGGTCTTCTGTTCGCAACAGAGACGCTCGAGGTCTTCTGTTCGCAACAGAGACGCTCGAGGACTTCTGTTCGCAACAGAGACGCTCGAGGACTTCTATTCGCAACAGAGATGCTCGAGGTCTTCTGTTCGCAACAGAGACGCTCGATGTCTTCTGGTCCGTTACAGCATCAAATGTCCAACGTTCTTGTCTTTTAATGCTGCGTTAAATGGACAGTTTATGGACGATTCAATGCCCAACGGAGTGGTCATTGATGTCCAACGTTCAGGTCCATTAACACTACATTTAACACACAACAAATCCTCCTATAAATAGCTGGCAGGTGGTTTGCAACAACACAACACACAATACATTCCTCACATATTTTAGAGCTCTAAAACACTTCCAGCTACTCCGAAAATTTCTGAGTGTTCTCCTTTGTCCCCGTTCGCTGGAACTCTCGTTTGTGTGCTCAAACATTAGTTCGTTAGCCACCGTATCCTGTAAAACGGTCATTGCAACGCTCCTAGCACCGTGGGAGGCGACGAATACGTTTTAAGGACATCGTGCATAGCACGAGCTCTGGCTAAACTCTGTCCCATCTCTTTTTTGTTTTTCTTTAGCTATTTAATTAATTAATTATTTTTATTAATTAATATTTCTTCGTTTTTCCGAGACACACCCAACAATATTAAAACACATTTTCATAAGCTTGTATCATACGGATACAATCTTAAAACGTATTCGGTGATTGTTCTACTCCGGTAAACAATCTTAAACTGTAGTCTGTCACTTTGGTGAATGAACTTATTTTTTTGTGTTTTCGGAAAATGTAAGAAAACGTTAAAATGGCTTCACAAGAAATTGGAAGTGTTGGTGGGCAAAACGTGCTAAACGACACTCACTCTGAAAGTGGAGCTCCGGTGAACAATGGTTCACAACGTGGAGCATCTACTTTGGGCAACCAAGGGGCAATCCCTATGGTTACCGTGCCAAGCAACTCTGTGGAGAAACCCGAAAAAATTAATGGGTTAAACTTCAAGAGGTGGCACCAAAAGATGCTATTCTATCTCACTACTCTCGATCTTGCAAGGTTCTTGACCGAAGATGCGCCGGTAGCAACCGGGGTGAGGTGGATGCGTAATCTTTCAACGCGGCTGAAGCTTGGATACATTCTGACTTCCTTTGCCAAAACTATGTGTTGAACGGGCTACATGATGCTTTGTACGACGTGTATAGCAAATTAGCTACGACTAAGGAGCTATGGAATGCTTTGGACCATAAATATAAAAGCGAGGATGTCGGCGCAAAGAAATTTGTTGTTGGTCGATTCCTTGATTTTAAAATGGTGGATTCGAAGATGGTCTTGAGTCAAGTTGAAGAGATGCAAATGATCTTCAATGAAATTCGAGATGAAGGAATGACAGTTAGTGAGTCTTTCCAAGTGGCGTCAATTATCCATTTATTGACGCCGGCTTGGAAAGATTTCAAGAACTACCTTAAGCATAAGCGAAAGGAAATGAACTTGGACCAATTAATCCTTCGTCTGCGGATTGAAGAGGATAACCGGTAGAACGATGGGAAACTCCCAATCGTTAACGGCGCCAAGGCCAACGTAGTGGAGCATGCAAAAGGCTCCAAAAACAAGAACAATGGGGAAGAGCAAGCTCGGTCCCAAGGGAGGCGTTTCCAAAACGAAGTTTAATGGAAAATGCTTCAATTGCAACAAGAATGGACACAAGTCCTCGGATTGCAAGGCACCAAGAAAGAAGAAAGACTCTCAAGTCAACTTGGTGCAAGGTGGGAAAAAGGATGACGACATAATCCTAGCGGCCGTGGTGACCGAGGTCAACCTCATTGGATCCAACTCCAAAGAGTGGTTCGTGGACACCGGTGCTACCCGGCATATTTGCTCAAACCGG